TGTGGTCTGTGTGGGTCCTAGTGCCCCAGTATAGTGATGGGGACACTAAACTGTAAAAAAAAAGGTGCTGTCCTTCAGATGAGATGTAAAACCAAGGTCCTGACTCTCTGTAGTCATTAAAAATCCTAGGGTGTTTCTCGAAAACAGTAGGGGTGTTACCCTGGGGTCCTGGCAAAATTTCCCATTGGTCTTTACCGGTCATGCCCTCCTAATAAACCCCATCTATGAACTGGATTCATCACTCTGTTCTCCTCCCTACCGATAGCTGATGTGTGCTGGTAGAGTTGTACATTGGTGGTGGTGGAGGGGAGACCCCATTACCTGTAAAGTACTTTGAGTGGAGTGTCCAGAAAAGCGCTATGTAAGCAATTATTAATTATTATTTACCGGCTCAGTTTGTATCAGCAACTTTATGTCTTGCCTTTGCCTACACAAACCAAGAAGTGCATTTTGACTAGTGTGGAGTGAAAAAAAAAATAAGTATAGTGATTTACACACACTTGTAAGGTTAGGATAATTTGTCCCCTGGTATTTCACCAGTAACCAAGAACTTGGAATTTATAAACTGGATCTCTCTGGAATAAATATGTTAAGCACAGTCACAGTGATTATAATACTAATAATGCCCAGCCCGAACTGTTTGAAAGGAATGTGTGATACTTCATATTTTATTTTTATTCGCAAGATTACTAGATGGGTAATATTTTCTTCGTGAGATCACTCCTCGAACTCTCTCGACTAGCGCCAAAAGTGCGGTGAAGGCGCGTCAAGCCTCAGTCCAAGTATCGCGAGATGTCGCGCCGTTGCGCTGGTGAAACAGCGGGTTAAGGGTTACAAGCCATCACGGTTCGTCACTGGGACATTGAATTGTAACACTGCGTTTTTAAACCTTAAGGCGCCTTCGCTACAATATAACCCATCATCGGCTGTGTACTGCTCCCTCTGACGCAGCTGCAATGGCAGAACTGAGGCACCGAGGCCCGCAGGAGAGTGAGGTACGGCGACAAGCCGATGACAAGGTAAATAAACTGGTCTGTGTTTCGCATTGCGAGCTGACTGCTACTTCAGCGTTGGTAGTCGCCGTTTACTTCGCGATCTGTTGCTCCAGTGGATTAAATGTAAAAAAAAAACCGCGTCGCAGAAATGTTCAGCGATGCTTTTGGTAAATACGTGTGTTATTTTCAGCCTCCGTGCATTCAGAACAGACGAATAAAATTCTGGAAAAGTGATTTTTTTGTGTGCATTTAATTGGTTCGGAATCCAGAGTCTCATATTTTCTAGATCGTGGGTGACGTTTACATTAGTGTGAACACAGTGAGGCCATTTCCAAATTGCACAATTGCACTGTTCTGGTCGTTGTCAGGATATGTAAAGCACGACCCCGTGAACACTTTAACCTGGTTTCTGGCATCACACTGCTGCCAGTGATCTAGCTAGGCTTTGTCTGCATCCTTCCCGAAACAAGATTAAAAACAATAAACCTAGCGTGTGTCTTAAAGGATTAATTTACAGTCATGTTGCTCAAAATGAAAATTGTTACTTCGGGCGTCGATATATTCGTTAACGTTGTTAAATTCAGCGCCGAGATGAGGCGTCTAGACTTCCGATGAAGTGATGCTATAAGCAGAAACGTTATTTTTCAATCTTTAAGAAGAGCTTTTTAAACTATTTCAAACGAGTGAAGTATTTGCAGGTTTTCATTTGGGTATTGTTGATTTGTAGATGTTTCTGCTTTGCACGAAATAACCTATATGATACAGCTGGAAACCGCTTGGAAGACGGTTGGGTTGAGAAAGCTATTTATATCCCTCACACCCCCGTAACTACGCTAGGGCAATGTATTTTGCAAATATATCGTATTAAATGGGGTTTTCAAGAAAAAAAAAACACATCATATTTACAATATCCATTTCGGGTGTTTTCAGTATTGTTTATTTGGTAACGGTAGAGGGATGTGAGAAACTGGACTTGCTGTAACCAAGGTTTCCGAATGATGACGTCAACTCGCTCAAAGAGGCGTTCTGTTCCAATGTCCTCACGTGGCTTCAGTCGTACATTATAGAGAGGGGGGGATAGATGGAAGAAAAATACTCTTTGTAAAGGTCATCTCATCTCACTTGTATATTTGTTTCGCTTTGCTTGAACCATGGATTTCTAGACATATTGATGGCTACTTTTGTAGTCATGTCAAAACCATCTATAAACTAGACAGATGACTCCCAGCTGTTGTTTGAAGTTTTATTTTATTAAAGAATTGTCTTGCAAAGTCTTGTCCTTTGGATGTGAAAGGCTCCATGGAAGTTAGTTTCATCCAGGTCATCAGTAATTGATTTGTGAAATTTTACCTTAATCATTCCTTGAATTTGCAGAACAGTTTTCCTACCAAGGCACCTAAGGTAGGCAGGAAGAGACTCATGTCGTCCACCACTGCAGTGTCACACCCAGGTTCACCAGCCAATTTTAAGGGGTAATTTTAGCAAGGCCAGTTTGTACAAGCTCATACTGGAACCTATCCAGAGCACTGAGGTTAGTACACCTACTTATCCATGTCCCCTGTTAATCAAGGGGCCTCTTGATGAATTCCCATGTTACAATTTCTCTTCAACCCCCTCTGCTTGGGACGTCGTTCACACCATTGTGGATGTTCTTGCGTTGTTTTTAAACCGTTACCAGCCCACAGTTAAGCCTAGGTGCACGCAAATGGCTTGGTGTCACGGTGGCAAAGCAGTGATCACTGACACAGAGGTGGCTGAGCTGCTCAGGTGGTCTTCTGGAAAGGGAATGAGCCTTGAGCTGCAGGACGCGTTCCAATACCCTAAACCAAATATGAGTGCAGAAGTAATGTCAGCTTTCACAAATGAGCCACTACAGCAGAGGATGCCTTGCTCATTTTCTCCTCAGCTTCTCAAAACGCTTATTAGGACAAAAACCAAACAATACCACTTCTAAAAAGTCTAAAACACAATGCCCCCCCATCTCTCAATCCACTTGCTAATGTAAAAAGAATGTGTATTTTAAAAAAAACCAATCTGTGTCACCAGCACACATTGCATTATTTCAGTAAGGGCTCTTGACAGTAACCCTGATCTCGGGGCAGATTGAGATCTCCATGTTTCAGGGAGAGCAATATGGGGAAAAACAAACTGGATAAAAGCAGCTTTTTCTGCCTCTGGCCCAGTGGTTACACACAGCAGCAGTCACAGTCAGCAGTCAGTGATTGAAGCCCTCAGTGGGCTGTAGGTGCTGTTAGCCTATAATTATGTATTCCCTGGTGCTCCCACAATGGAGCACATTGTAAGACCCGGGCTGAAGAACTATTTTAAGAACGCAGTCATCCAGGGGGATAGATGGGCGGCGCTGTTTCCGCCAGTGTGGCCCATCCAGTCGAGGCCTGTCTTCTCCGCAGATACTTCCATGCTGATCACATGCTGCAGATTAGGGCTTTATTACATTTAAGCCATGTTACGTTTCCAGCCCCCTTTTTCATTTTTTGCTGTTTTGTCTAAATATGGTTATGTAGAATAGTGTCTGAATGTTGTACCCTTTGTCTGTCACAGTGTCTCCTTGACCTAACTGGGTAACGGAGAAGGAAAAAACTAGATTCAGGAGAATCGTGTGCAAGGGCTTTTCAGTTTTTGCTATACAATCTTAAAGGCAATTTTCAGCAATGATGCCCCACCCTGCGGAGGCAGTATTAGTGTGGGCGACTCCGTTCTTATTCCATTACTTTTTGTGGTAGCATTTCCTAGTGAACTCTGCTTGACCTGGGGTTTAGCTTTAATGTAATCAATGTCTCCATTATCTACAGCTCACACGGTAGTTAGGGATCGATCTAATATAGACACAGAACATACCCTGTGTTGCCCTTCGCTGGGTAAAAGAATGATCATGCACAAGTTAGTCCTTAGGCTTGTGTATTTTTAAATGCATCTGATTTCAGATTGAATTTCACGTGATTTTGCAAGAATTCTTAACTTTTGTTAATGCACACAGATATGTGTTAGTAGCCATAGAAAGATGACACCGATTTTCAGATAAGACAGTAATGGTGTTGTATGGTCATCAGAATTAGTGATATGACTAAAACTCAAAGAGACTATCATATTGGTAGCTACTGCTGAGCCAACACTGAGCTGTTCCTGCTTGGAGGCACGTTGTTCCCACACCTTGCAGCAGAATAAACACAGCAGATCCTGAATCACAGCAAGGCCGACTGGATTGGCAACACACCCACAGGGAGAGGGTGGGGACAAGACTCGCACTTCTGAATAGTCAAACATGCTTTTAATAAACAGCACAGCTCCCAACATGCAATACAATGTGTACAATTCAAATCTGTCTCACTTCTTTAGGTTTCACAATAAGGATCTTCCAAATAAAACAAAAATGGATACCAGACTGAATTAAGGACATTGTTTTCAATCCAAAATATCTTCAACTAATCAGTCCTCTTTATAGAACCATTGTGTTGTACCGCATGTTATTTTTTTCATTTAACATTTGTTCACAAAGTGCCTTATCATTTCATAATGGTCTCTTATTGCAGCACATTTAAATGTCTTTGAGAAGATATCTCCTACTGCACTAGAAGGTAATAGTATATCATCTGTATTCCCCCGTGGGTGTGTTACTGATGCATCTTAATCAATTACATGATCAGAGTGGGCCGTGATTGTGCGGGCATTGTGATGAGAAGACAGGCTGGGGTGTGAAGAAGTACATTTATAAAGTATTAACAGCATCCCCAGCCAGCGCCCAGCTCGCACAGAAGAAAGGAAAGTGATGTGTTCAGGATGAAAACTGCTATCAGGTTTGCTCTTCCAGTATGTAGAGATTTGCATTGCAAATGTAGCAATTTCCCAATTTCAAAGCTGCATGATCACACGGGGCGGAGAATACGATTAATCCTTTTGTGTGTGTAAAATGTCCAGGGCGAACGACAAGAGTACCATTTTTTGTAACCTGCTCATTTATTTCCTCGCTGCGTCTGAGCAGCTCCAGGCTCAAGTCAGTTTTGAAGTGTGTCTAAGAAGCACTGTGCGCCCCTGTAGCGTGGACATGGCTCGTTCTCCAGATCAAGAAGGATCTGTCTCCTATCTTAACAACATTGTTCATCCGTGAGCGCAGCTGTTAATTTCTAGTTTATCCTAAAAAAAGTTTGAGATATTGAAGATAAGATTTTTTTTTTAGAAAGCCTCCTCTTAGGCAGGAGTATTTATTAATTAGCTTACAAAAAACAGAACTTACAGAGCACATGGGAAAGGATCAAGTTGCTATGCATTGCTAGACCAACCTGACAGGTTTATTGCCGTCCACATTCATGGTAAAGACTGGAATGGTTTGAATTTTGCTGATGGAGTCATCGTTAATGTTACTGAGGTAATGGTCGAGATGGGTTAGAAGTAGTTGGAGTGGGTTTCTTACAGTGAGAGAAGAGGCGGGGGACCTTGGAGGATGAGCAGCTATTGTTCCTATGTCCAGCTGATCACACTTCCCGTTCACAACAGGAAATGTCAGGGTTTCCTAAGGCTCCAGAAGCACCTTGTTTTCCCATCTGTGGGGAGAAGTGACAGGATGTGTTTCCATGGCAAACTCAGAACCTGCTGCTTCATTCAACAAGTCTGTTTGTTTGTAACAGGGTGAGGAAGTATGTATCTGTATGCATGCGTGTTGAGAGGTATCCCCATTTCTTTTGCCCAAGGGAAGTTGGCAACTTATTCCATACGGGAGATGGATTCAGCTGGAATGGTGGCTTTCTTTACTTCTTTCAATAGCTGTTAATACAGTGTCTTTATTCTTAGCTAGTTAGGTAGAATAAAAGAGCATCTGATGACGTTTGTACATAATTGTTTTGGCTGTGAAGAAGGCTCCACAGCCAAAAAGTTGGGTTTCTTTTCTTATCTTTTCAGCACAGAATAAACCTTTACTGGTTCCTTTGCAGCCTACACATGCTGATGCAGCTACCCACTTGAACTACATTGTGAAAAGATATAGGTTTATTCCATGCTGAAAAGAAAAGAAAGAAAACACATCATTTCGGCCGTGGAGCCTTCTTCAGGTGTGAGAGCTTCCTTCTCATACCTGAAGAAGGCTCCATGGCCGAAACAGTGTTTTCTTTCTTCTCTTTTCAGCACGGAATAAACCTATTTCTTGTTCCTACACAGCTACCCACCTGAACTATTGTTAAAAGATGTTTTCTCCAGCACTGGTGAACTATTACTTCTTTAAATTGGCCTTGATTTGGGATCTTAATTCAGCTGCAGGTGGCAGATGGGTGGGTCCTTAATTTTCACATGCTGTTTTCACCAACACAAACCATCTCTTTAGCCATGCAGTTCAGACAAGCCCCACAGAGCTGGGGAGGAGAGCGAATTTGGCAGTGCTCCATGAGTTGTTTCTCAGTGTTTTCTCCTTCTCTGAAAACCTGCTTCATCTGTTGGCTCTCTTTTCGGTTTCCTCACTCCCTTCTCTCTTTCTCCCTTGCTCCGGGCAGGGCTCAGAGTCCGAAATGAAGACCGATGGCGAGGCGGCCTCTGACAGCGAGACAAAGCCTGATTCGGGGATCCCCGAAGTGCCCCCTGCAGACGACACCCCCGAAGTCCTCAACAAAGCCCTCGCCAGGCTCTCTTCAAGGTAACTGGAGCCTCTCTGGCCCTGCAGGAGTCGACAGAACCATCAAGGCTCGGTTTTGTTTTGACCAACAGTTTTGATTGATTAAAATGCAGGAGAGCCTCTTCTGAGCTGAAGTGCAATACCTGAGGGTAAATTCTTGCAGTACAACTATAGGGAGACCAGAGTCCAGAGAGACACTAATCAAAAAGTATTTCTGAGAACATGCAGTACATGTGAAGGAACAGGTAAAGATTTATTCCATGCTGAAAAGAAAAGAGACGCAGTGTTTCAGCCATGGAGCCTTCTTAACTGCCGGATTCCCACACTTCCACTCTCCCTCACACCTGAAGAAGGCTCCACAGCTGAAATGTCTCTCTTCTTTTCAGCACAGAATAAACCTTTACCTGTTCTTTTGCAACCTACGCATGCTGACACGGCTACCTACTTCAACTTCTACAGTACATTGTAGAGCGTGAACGATGAAACTGATTTTAGGTAATTTCACCCTTCGTTATGAGGTCGGCATACCCCAAACAGCAGATTTTTATTTTCAAATCCGCGGAGCTGGATTGTTGGAGGATGTGTTGTCTTTGTCTGGTTTCAGATGGAGGAACTGGTGGGTGCGTGGCATCCTCACTCTGGCCATGATCGCTTTCTTCTTCATCATCATCTATCTTGGGCCCATGGTCTTAATGATGATCGTAAGTCGCCCCTTATTTTCACAAAACATTGCTTTCTTTACCCCTTCCAGATACTGGACACGGGAATCTTTTATTTGGTATCATTTACCAGCTACCTACCCACCCATTTAAAAGGAATACGTGAGGGCCAGTTCACAGCTGTAATTTGTTTTGTTTGGAACATCAATACAGTTTCAGGAGAGACGAGGCAGGAAGACAGTGGGAAGTGTGTTTAAAACACTTCTTTACCCAGAGTGTTGTGGGAGTCTGCCCAGCCATGTTATTGAAGCTCCCATTCTGACTTCTTTCAAGAGGCAGCGGAATGAGATTCCTGGGTCGATTAGTTACCGCCTAATAGAGTGACTAGATGGGCCAAACGGCCTCCTTCGTTTATTTGCAGTTTTTCTGCAAACTATGAAAAACCCTTTGCTACTTACTTTACGCCATAAAACCAAATTTGAGGGAAAATTAAAATGTTGATTTTTTTGGAGAAGCCCTTCATGTGTATAATAGTCTGTTGAGGAATTGACTCAATCTTGAAGCAAAGGCTACCAATACTGTCTTAATATAAAGAAAAAAAATAACATTTTTAGACAGGAGCCTTATATTTCGTGTATTATTAACTTACATAAAATAAAACCATTGATGTATTCTGTCTTTGAGGCAATGTATTCAAATGTTTCAGCCAAGGGAAATAAGTAACAGCATATTCATTTTTCATCGCTGTTGACGTATTTGCTGGGTTTGAAAAGACCGCCACCACCCCTTGTTAGGAGGAGGGTGAATGAACGTTTGACTGGTCCCCTCTCTGCACAGGTGCTCTGCGTGCAGATCAAGTGTTTCCAAGAGATCATCACCATTGGCTACAGCGTCTATCACTCGTATCACCTGCCCTGGTTCCGAACACTCAGCTGGTAAGCCTGTCCGTCATGTGCCCTGGTGCCGGGACTCCTGCTCTGTCCCTTAAAAGCATAAGGAGATCTTAAGTCAAGACCAGGAACAAAGTCCAGAAGAGCTTGCCAGTTTACCATTAACAGTGGTTTTCAGCTTCTAGCTGAATTGAAAGATTAAATATCCACCTCCGAAAGTGGCTTTAATAGATGAGTAATCATCTATTGAAAAAACTGCTCTGTAATGTGAGCCGTCTATACTTAAGATTTACTTTCTGCTCTGGCGTTCTGTTTAATGAAGTATGAAGTGTCATCTGGATTCAGGTTCATTCTTATAAAGTTTAACATCTGCCTAAGTCTCCTTTTACCATTGTTTATTATAACTGATGAGATTCAATAATTGTAACTCGTGTTCTTTGATCCTTTTGTCTGTCTGCCTGCTGTTCCGTGAAGTTTGTCCTGTCTACTGTGGGTCTTTTCTTTCTGACTCAAAGACCAGAACGGTGTGCAGCACTCCAGATGTGGGCTCATTAAAGCAATGTACATATTTATGTTTGTATTCTTTGATCTACCTTAATCAGTGTAATAAGACCTTATATATGTGTAAATCGTTACATATTAAACAGTGATAAAGTTATAGAATGTTTAAATTTAAACTTTAATTGGTGACGCACACTAGGGTAAAATGATCTCTTGAAATGAGAAGCGGTTTCAGACAAAGAGTAGATCTGTCCCATCAGATGAAATTTTCACTTTGCATCTAGAAATTTCACAAGATATGAAAGGTGCATGGAAAATTTAATGTAAAAAAGGAGCTGCGTTGCATAACGCGTGTTGTCACAGCTGGGTGTCTGTATCTCATGCAATCTCTGATGCAGTGCTAGGTCCTTACAGGATGCACACACGACAGATATTCTTTGCAGTCTGATTCTGACTCTTGTTTTCCTCAGATCAGCTCGTGTCAGCGTGAGGCAGGAGAAGACTTTTATTTGGCTATAGTGCTAATGGACGATCTAACTCTAGTTTTCCACTGTCTTCTGTGTAGGTACTTTCTGCTGTGTGTGAATTATTTCTTCTATGGTGAAACTGTGACAGACTACTTCTTCACACTGGTGCAGCGCGAGGAGCCCCTGAGAATCCTCAGCAAATACCATCGCTTCATCTCTTTTGCCATGTACTTGACAGGTAGGGCAGGCACTGCAAAGGAGATGGGCTGCAAACTCCCGATACTCTTTGCATAAAGTCCTTTCTCTTGTCGAGGGTGGTGTTCTTGAAATCACCCACATGAAACACCTGCCAAGGCTGTGCCACCAGGGACGACACCCGTACACACCTGAACGTTAAGACCAGCCTTTACCAGTTAAACTCCATATACCTACATTCTCTCTCTTTTGTAGTGAAATTCAGACTTTACCCCATTAAACTCACATATGTGCTGGAAAGATGAAGAGGCAAGCATATAATTCTTTCCCCTTTACACTGTTCCTAATCAATTCACAGTTTAAAGGTAAATAACTTGTAATAAATCCTCTGTAACCCACTATTTAAGCTTTACTGGACCTTTGCAATTCTCTTTCTTATTTTATTTAGTGCAAGGTGCCCATAGCAGAATGGAAATGTGTTCTAACCAGTGTGGTGTAGAAAAGCTACTTGTCCGTCAATGTATATTACCTACACTGCAGTTATGTGGTGCTGTAAAGATATATACTTGCTAGAGAAGCACTTAACAGTTTTTTGGTGGATAAGGGTCAGAACAGTAAAGTCATAACACACTGCCACACTTGAGACTTTGTTTAGATATTAAAACTGTGTTACAAGGCATCAAATTACTTCAAAATTGAATTTGCTGTAGGTTTTCCTGTGTTTAAACCCAAGTGTTAAGTGCATTTTTAAGCAATATTTTAATTGCAAAACTGAAGCAGTTTATTTTTCCCCTTAGCTCATTTTCAACAGGATGTGGTTGAGCACGTTTGTTCGGTACACTATAACTCGAGGAGGGGCGATACAATGAAAGCACACTGACGCTGAAGTGTTGATGGGTAAAGGCTGGTAAATTTAAATAAAAACACAGCTTTTAGGATATCTTTTCTGAAGCACATGTCAATGAAGCACCTGAAAGATTTGGAAGATGGGGTAGCAAACATATTTCGTGTTTGACAGAAAGCGGTCTTGATTTATTGTAAGGAGATTCAGAAGTAATAATAATAATTAATAATTGCTTACACTTATATAGCGCTTTTCTGGACATTCCACTCAAAGCGCTTTACAGGTAATGGGGACTCCCCTCCACCACCACCAACGTGCAGCATCCACCTGGATGATGCGACGGCAGCCATAGTGCACCAGAACACTAACCACACATCAGCTATCAGTGGGGAGGAGAGCAGAGTAATGTAGCCAATTCGTAGAGGGGGATTATTAGGAGGCCATGATTGGTAAGGGCCAATGGGAAATTTGGCCAGGACACCGGGGTTACACCCCTACTCTTTTCGAGAAGTGCCCTGGGATTTTTAATGACCACAGAGAGTCAGGATCTCGGTTTTACGTCTCAATTTACTGTTAATTTATTGTTATGCTCAATTTCATTCTGGACAGTCCGACATAAGGAAAGCTCCACTGTGTGCATGAAGTAGGATATGGTTTTTCAGCACTAAAAGAAGAATAATCTTGCAAAAAGACAGCACATTTTTTTGTCCTTTTTGATATATTCCACTATTTTTCAAGCGGGCATCTAATGAAAGAAAAGCTGTTTGCCTGCCAGTCTTTTAATGAACAAAGGAACCACATGCTGAATGAATCAGATGCAGATGCTTGTGTCTCCCGAATAATGGGGAAACTAAAGATGAAAATATTCTACTACACCTGTTGAATGTTATATATTAATTGCTCAGGAGGAGGTTTAATACAGCTAAATCATATACAAGACAGCTAGAAACCCTCAATGTAATTTTTGCATGCAGGGTTTTTAAAACATGGAGATATAGGCATGTTTCACATGCAGGGTTTAAATGAAAAGTAGTTCACCTGTAGCTAAACTTCACTGGTATTTACACTGGTATCTCCAAGATCTCAGTAGTTCAGGTTTTAATTGCATATTGGGAAAGCTTTTAAAAATGTGAGGTCTTAAAGCTCAGATTTTAGAAACCATGATATTTGGCACCTTGCAGATTATTTTCTTTTTTTCTTCCTATTGTTTTGCAGGATTTTGCATGTTTGTCTTGAGTCTGGTCAAGAAGCACTACCGCTTGCAGTTCTACATGGTATGTGTTGGCTCTTTTGCTGCTATTTTATTTGTCAGGACGCTATTTAGGACTTCAACCAGATTGCTCCATTAAGTGTCCCGCTTCGCTAATGGGCACTTTCCAGGTTGTCCTTGAAGAAAATCATTTTTGAACTGACTGATTTGGTTAAATGAAATTGTGGAAAAACTAGGTCGTCGTCTTCTTTATAAAACCGCACCTACCCTTGTGGCGCTGTGCCAGTTCCTCAGACTTGTCCCACAGCCTGTGCTGTGAGGAACTACATGTACTGGTTGACCCACCAGGTTATCCCCTTAAGCTAACTGAGCTTTTTTTTCTGTCTCCCCCACAGTTTGGCTGGACTCACGTGACGTTGCTGATCGTCGTCACCCAGTCTCACCTCATCATCCACAATCTCTTTGAAGGCATGATCTGGTACGTCACTCATGACTGTCCTTCTGGCCATGGGACAGCATCAAGACCGCACGTCGTTAACAAAAAGAGTGGAAAGTCCTTTTGCGCTGACTTTCATTTACCTTTAAAGTAGTGCTCTGAAATCCACCAAGCTTCATTCAAGCTTAAAAATGCATTTTTGACCTTTGAAACTACTGGTTCAAGAAAGAAACTCAACTCACTGACAATAATGATCACTGACCTAGCAACCCAACCCACTTTTTGCAATGCCTTAGCCGTAAGAACTGAGGATGTAGGGGATTCCTCATGCAGCAGGAAGCAGAGGGAGCGCGCCTGCTAGCAGGGACGATACTAGGCTTACTCTGGAGCGGGAATGAGGCCAGTTTCCAGTTGCAGGAAGCGGGACAGCAGGATTTCCAGATTTGGCAGTAGCTGCCGTGAGATGAAGAGCAGTGACAGGAAACAGCGTAGACTTCTCTCCTTCTCACCATCTAAAAATGTGCTCAGGAATGAGAGACACCTCTTAAAAACTCGAGTCTCATTATAGTCTCTTGTCTCTATAGCGTGTACCAAAATTCCAAGAGATTATTTTACTTTTATAAAATGAATCCATAATGCTCATACATCATTTCAAAGTAGGTTACTTTGCGGGAATTAAAACTACTTATTAATAAACATTACACTCCTACTTTATGGTTAAGTTGATACACTCCTCATTGCTAAGACTATAATGAGCTTCTTTTTACTTCTTATCCTGTTCTTTCTGGTAGTGTTTGTGATGTTATCAAGGCACAACCACCATGGTATTCTGATCAGATATGTAAATGAGAGCAATGCAGAAAGAGCTGGGCCTCTCTGGTGGCTAGATCAGCGCACATTTAGAAATGTATTTCTAGAGAACAGATTTCAGACTCCTAAAAAGATATTTTAAGTCACTGTGCTATAGTAATAGAGACTAAGACGCAGTAATCCAGATGGAAGTTATGAAAATGGAGGAACAAATTGTGTGTATGATGCAAAATACAAATGACTTGCTCATGTGTCCAAAGGTAGTGTTACTTAATACCTTATATCGTCATACTGCAAAGTCATTATGGGGCAGCACAGACTCTGCCACACTTCTGAGTGCTGCCAAGGGTATGGTAGGGTAATTCAGCCAGGGATACAGTCACCCTATTGGCCTCTTGGCACTTGCAGGCTTGTCGTGCTGTCGGTGAGGGACATGCCTTCTCCTGTTGGCACTGAACTGCAGGTTGGGGGCAGTGTTGTCTATGGATGTGTTAAGAGACCAGTGGCTCAAGTGAAATGTGGGCAAGCCAGAAGAGTCTGCCTTCCGTTCCTTGTTCTCCCCAGATACAGACAAGGGGTGCAGAGACCAAAACTCTCGCCTTTTTGAAATTGGATGGATGTAACAAAACTAGTTGGCAATTCTAAGTTTATAAAAATAGCAACTGTCCGCATTAGGACCTGTGTAAGTAAAGGCACTGTTTCCGTTGTAGAGATTTAAATGTGTGGTGCACACTCTGGTGTCTGGGAAGGAGACCTCTCATGGCAAGAGCATAGAAGTGAAAGCCTGAGCCACTGAACGCTGCTCCTCCTTCACCTTCCACCCTGTGCCGTATGGAAGGCTCTGAAGGAGGTTCATGAAGCAGGGGCTGCAGACAAAAGAAGGAAGACAAATGCAAGCTCTACAAAAACTGATGCCAAATTCCCTGCAGTAAATTGTTCATGTCCTAGGTGAGGCTGCCGTAGAGATCTGGAGAATAACCTCACTGTAGTTGCAGGAGGTAACATTTAATCAGAACAGAATATAGTCATAACGGGTGTGGAGCTGCTCGGCAAAGGTTGCCGTGCAGCTACACTGTGTATTGGTTTCACAGCACACACCTATATCGCACTTGTGGCAGTTTGCCGTTTTCTGATGTCTGACTGCCAGCTCAGCATGTCAATTTAATGTTGTGTTTAGTAACATGTTTCTGTTTAAGCCCTCACTCCATACTTTTAACTGTTTTTTTCTTCGTCTCCATTATTATTTCCGGTGCTGTGTTTTTGAGAGTTCTGCCCAGGATGCTGACTTGTCGCACTCCTGTTTTGCAGGTTTATTGTTCCCATCTCCTGTGTGATCTGTAATGACATCATGGCATACATGTTCGGCTTCTTCTTTGGGCGAACTCCGCTCATTAAGGTCAGGCTGGACGGATTTTATTTGTACATGTTAATTGTTTATTTTTTGTTTTCTAAAGAAGATCTGTTCAGCATATGTTAAGATAAATGTATACTTATAGACTTTAGAAATGTCCTCTATGTCTGTGAGCAAGGAGGTATTGATCTAGATCACTCCATATACTTGCGAGTAACTGCAGCCACTTTGGAAAATGACATGTTGGACAGTGATTATGTCAGTAATAGTGCAAATTATGACTTTTTCTAAGAGAACACCTTGAAGTCAGGTTTATGTTGTCTCAGAAGAGGGAATGCAGACCATACAGCTTAGATTAATTGAATAAAAAGCTGTTTAAATATACAGTATATCTGGGGATCTCCTCTCCCTCACCGAGAAAGGTTGCTCCCGAGGTTTGTTAGATGTGTTTCATAACCAATAAATAATTCCAGTTTTTACTAACGGTATGAGGTGCAAAGGATAATTACAAGGGTCTTCAGTACATCCACAAAGATAATGCAGTCTTAAAAAACGGATAAATTCACATATTTTGAAAGTTATTATAATTGATACTAGAAAATAAATATCTATTTAAATGTTCCATTTTATTTTGTCCAGCTGTCTCCAAAGAAGACCTGGGAAGGGTTCATAGGAGGGTTTTTCGCCACTGTCGTGTTTGGACTTCTGGTAAGTAAATGCTGAACTTTGTATATATACTTTACTCTCCAAAGGCACTCTGATGAGGTTTGCTGGTGTGCCGCTCTTCATGCTGGGATATCTCAATCCCAGTTACTGTTTGTAGTAATAAAGCACAGCTCCTATGATCAGCAGACAGATGAAGATGTCAGCAAATATCAAGTTTTCACTCTTAACCTAAACCCAGTGCTCAGATTGATGCACTGTATTTTAGTAGTGATCCTGTTTCTGAAGACAGGGATTCAAGTGCCATTCCACTGCTCTGACCCTCTCTCCTCTTCACTCTTCTCAGCTCTCCTATGTAATGGCAGGGTACCAATACTTTGTGTGTCCTGTGGAATTCAACAATGACTCCAACAGATTCACAGTGGACTGTGAGCCCTCGGAGCTCTTCCAGCTGCAGGACTACAGCCTTCCTGCTGTCCTGCAGTCCCTCACCGGCTGGGTATGGCTCTCTTACTGGTCTGTCTTCACATCTGAGTGGTGCTCTTTATCTGCGAGATGGGGTTAACTCATGTAAGACGGAATCGTACATCAGAGGAGTCCAGTTCCTGTCCTCATGGGTCACTGTCTCTTTAAACCTTCGGTTTCTCAAGAGCAAGGAAAGACTCCAGCATGTCCAATTAGGCAAATAAGCAGTTTGATTAGGTAATTAAGAGCTAAGGTAGAAAAAATAGAAACCTGGCCCCCTTGGACTGGAGCTGTGCACCCCTGGTATAAAAACGAAGACCAGTTACTTTAGACCTACAATAATACAATCAACCTTTAAATGAGCTTTTATTTAGCTGGATATCCCCTATAAAAGAGCAAGTATCATGATTACCCTTTTGCTAAGACATCTGACTTTAAAATGATCTGCCAATAAAATCATTCATGACCTAGAGTTTCAACAACAACTTTTTTTTTATTGTATGCTAACATAAATGTAAACATCCACAGCTTGCTTTTGCATTGACCTTAACAAGTCTACAAATAATGGAACACTATAAAAATATTTTTAAAATATTTGTATCTGTTTTCTATTCTATTTCATACAGAAATGGAAAAGCACAGCTGTTGGTTGCAAAACCCTCTTTACTTACAGTGCACACTCACAACCAGGGAAATAGACCATTTCACCATGTCCTGTGGGATTCTGTGAATTCATGGGATTTATTAAGAATATTGTCATATGAGAGGTTGTGTAATATGATCAGCTTCTCCTTTCTTCTCCGCAGAAAACCATGCGCATGTACCCCTTCCAGATCCATAGCATCGCACTGTCTGCATTTGCTTCACTCATGGGTCCATTCGGTGGATTCTTTGCCAGCGGCTTCAAAAGAGCCTTCAAGATTAAGGTATGGGCTTTGTATTCACAAGAGGCGCATCCTGCTCTCTGTACAACACTGGAGTTAACCCTCCACACCTGCTCTGATAACGTGGTACTTGGACTTCAGAAATGGCCATATCATGTTTTGTATGATAGATGACTCTTTTCTAAAACTAGTATGCCTATCTGTGATGTAATACCAAGAGCAGATGTTACAGCCTTGAGAACAGTCAGGAATGCATGAAGTGCATAAATGCAAGCTGCTGGTTATCATTTGGTTTCTCTTGGAAACCTAGAAAGCATCATCCGTCAAACAATAATTCCATCATTTCTGATGTTCCTACTCCAAGTTACTGTATCTGAACTTGCGCAAGTGGATGATTTTTCCCATGGCTCAGATCTGAAAGGCACATGGCCAGTCTGTGCTGGAGCAGAGAAGGATTCAGAAGACCTTTGCTACAGAGAAAAGAATCTTAGTAGAACTGAAACTGCTGTAATGGTACAGTAGAGGAGGACAGTAAAATAATCAAATGCCTATCTCGGAGGCAAATGATTTCACATGCTTACCTACTGTACATAATGTCTTGCTACAGGTGATCTGCATCTCACATAAAATTCCCCAAATCCTGGTTCAAAGATGCAAGTTATTTCTCCTGCTCAAGTTATAGCTTCTTCAAGCTATTTTCCTTGTTTTGCACAGGATTTTGCCAACACTATCCCAGGGCATGGTGGGATCATGGACCGCTTTGACTGCCAGTACCTCATGGCTACCTTCGTCAATGTCTACATTGCCAGTTTTATCAGGTAAAGTGCTGCTTTCCTCTGGAGGCATAATGCCATAACAGAGGCAAAAATAGTAGTGGTGCATTTTCCACAGAGCATTTGTGTTTAAGCCTGAGATGCTATGGTATCACTGTTTTTATTTATTGAGTTATTCATTTTTGCTGTATTGTACAGAGCATTTAAGTGAGTTTTAATCACCAGGTTTTTTTTAAATTAAATTTACCATTCGGGGAATTTCTCGGCTTGCGGCTATAAACCCTGTGACCTCCCCACTTTTGAGCCACTTGTGTTTTAACATCACAGGCTGGAGGCGAAGCACTGACTAGGGGAAAGGCCTGTTTTACTCCAAATAACATAACTGTGTTTCCCGATATTGCCAAAATGCTGAACTGACATCAGCTCTTCATGATTTGTCTTTCTGTACCAGCCGAGGCAAGAGAGGTTATCGTAGCTGAAAACCAGCCACCATTCCAGAGTTTTGTGTCTATTCAGTTTCAGGTGGATCAGGTGGAAAACCAGAAATCAAAGAGCTGTTGGTCCTTCTCGTTTAAGTAGCACTCCATCAGGGCTCAATTAGTAAGAACGCTGATGTCACTTTCAACGAGGGGCGATTTTTCATAATGCTGTGATTTCTGTGCTGCTCAACAGGGGTCCAAACCCGAGCAAGGTGATGCAGCAGCTCCTGGCCCTGCGACTAGACCAGCAACTGCACATCTTCAACTCCCTCAAAGCCCACCTGCTGGAAAAGGGGCTGCTCTCAGCCAATGAGGAGGCAGCTTAGGGGGTTCGTCAGCCAATGATGAGACAGAAGCAGAATGACCTAACGGGGAGAGGCGGGGGGTTTTGGGAAGTGAGAAAAGAACAGCCCTTACCAGAGACAGACTCAATACCTGGACAATTCCACTCTGTGTGTTTTGATGTTAGTGTCCATTTAGTGCGCAACTGTTTTTTTAATTAAATATTCTTTTAATTTAATACTGCAATTATATTAAAAACACAGTGCTGTCTATATTTTTTTGTTGGTTATTTAAATAGTCCCAGTTATATACAGAACAGAGTATACTGTACATACTATATATGTGAATATTTTTATGGTACTTATTTTTAGTGGGTTTTAAATGCACTGTACAATCATGTTTACACTGTAATTACAGACTTTTGGTGTTTTTTTGTTTAGTTACATTTTTATTCTGGTGGTGGAGTTGGAAAATAGTTTGAGCAATATATCAACCAAACGATTAATATGTGTTTATGTTAAAGATAAATTGAATCAAATCTTAAGTGTTTGCTGTGTTTGTATTTGTTTTCATGCAGAAATGTGTATTTCACTTTTTAATTTCTATTTCCTGTTTTTATTTTTTCGTGTGAAATTGCTGTTTTTCTTTTTATTCAGAAATGGCAACTGCTTTCCTCTAATGCTTTGGAGGTTCAGGAAAGTGGGAAGTTGCTAATATGTACAAGGAAATCGCTGTACATTTTTCCTTTGATGAAAACCCACGCAGAAGTTGTCATCTGTTCTCCGGTATAATTTAGACCTGGGCTTCTCAACCTATTTCAGTGACTATTCCAGCATTTTGCTACAAACAGTTCAGCGTCAATATCGACGTTAAAGACCTGGTTCTATCAAAACTCTGGAGTGGAGTGGATTGGAAGAGCTGTTAATTCAATAGGCCTAGTTTAGACAGGGGTAGAAACCAGATCTGTTCCCCTTTCCTGAACCTGGAGCTTATTATGTAGCAGTATAATGTCACATTTGTGAAAGGACTCAAAATTAAATACACTGGGTAATGTTTACAGTCACGTGTTTGAGTGGCGAGCTGTGTCAATATTTTACTTAAGTAAAGGTTAATTCCACACTGAAAAGTAGAAGGAGCAACAGTTTGGCTTTTCAGCCTTCTTAAGGTGCCAGCATTCTTCAGGTGACTTACTCCTGATGTAGTTCAACACCTGAAATGTTTCTCTTTTCTACTTTTCCGTGTGGATTTAGTCTAAACTTGTTCCTGTTTATACAGTAGCCAAGAAGTCAAAGTGAATAGAAAAACAACCAGTTATTGCACAGCAATGAACATAAAATCATTCTTTTTGTGTTTGGGCTCAATCTTCAGTCTCAGTAAGGCCTTGGTTTAGAAGACTACTGTTTGCATTCTGAAGTTCCAGTATTACATTGTAGCTAAGTACTGCTCAGGTACGTGTACTTTAATGCCACCTACAGTACCATACAGTAATATTATAGATTTTGACTGAAATATTTTTTAGCATTTACTCCTTATACTGCAATTACTGTACATAGAAACTGCAGAACATTCCGTTGTAACCAAAAATAAGATAAAAATATATCTAAGGGAGAAAAAAGGATAATTTTATTTAATGTGTACCAATTCAAATGTGGTCTTTTTAATAAATTGAAGCAGTGCAGTAATTTTGTTTTTAAACTGAACTTTATTGTCAATTGCCAAGGGATAAACAGCACCTTCTTTATAGACAGAAATGAACTTTATGGTCTATGCGTATTCAGTCTTTTTCAGGAATATTTGTAGGAATGTAGGAATATTTTATGTTAAAAATGCATACTGCTTCTTCTGATAATCAAAATGCATTCCAGGGAGAGCATAATTTTTAAAAGCAAAACCTTAGTAAAACAATACATGACCACGTTAATTGTTTTCAGTAAGCTATTGACAATGGGAAGAAATACTATGATAAAAATAATTCCTAATCCATTTATTTGTAAATCCTACACAAGAGGGTTTGCAATGGGTTTCTTAAGTTTGAAGTTCTACACCCCCCCCCCCCCCCACAGAGTGTCTTAAAAACTTCTACTAAAAGAGCTAAAGTGCGATTTAGCAAAAGATACCAGAAACAGTTTATCTAGGATGGGAAATTTGAGATTTGCTGGTTGAAAGCCATTTTTGCTAGTAGGTTTACTGCTTTAGTTTTATGATACATGAGTTCTTACTGAAGAGATGCATATACAGAGGGAACCCAGTATGGAAAATCATACATGCTAATTATCTGTTATTCAAACACTATTGTAAAGCTTTAATGTTTTTATGTATATTAAAATATTCTTTGTTAATGTATTTTAAAGTATGGCATACATGTCCAAGCACATGAAATGTCATACACAAGTTGTCTCAGTTAATTTTCTTTATGTTAATAACGGAAAATTAACTTGACTAGTACAGTGCATTTTATTTACATATATAAGGCATAATTGTGGTCAGAATTACATGACATATTTAAAATTTTAGTTTTGTGCTTTACCACTTCTGTGAACTATCACTAGATTTTATCGAGAAAGATAGCCATATTGTGTCTAAAGCTATATTATGTATGAGAATGATATCAGAATAACTATTTTTAAATATTCTATGGGCCTCATGTGAATGTAAGTCAATGTTTGGGTCTTTTTGTTTTTGTACTGTCTGTGATTCCTTTATCAATGTCTGCTTATTATTCAGGGCTCGGGGTGCAGAATGCTGCAGCACACTGTATTTAAAACCAATTTTTTAATCTGCAAAATGAGAGGTGAAGAATTGGAGTGTTCAGATTTCTTTCTGATCCCGGTTTGTGTGCGCAGTATCAATGCCGTACTCCAGACGTGTCCTGACACTAGCACTTTTAACCAGAAGGTGGATCCACTGGGTAGCATTTACCTCCATGTACAGGAATTTCCTATTTTGATTAAGCCTCACAGGCTGTACTGCAAAATGTCCTGAGTTGGGCTATTTATACATTCATTTCATATTTATTTTTTAGTACGACTTGTCCTGCTTTGGATTGACAAACTATATTTTTTTCACTTGCATGATTGAGTGTTTTATTACTGTGTAAGAAATTTACAGAGGAGCGGTCATCTGGTCAGGATTTTGACTTGACTTAATGCAGTAGGCGTTTCTCTGCCTGAGGTATTGAAAGTACTGAAATTATTAACAAAACACAGCTGTTTTAGAGTCAAATTAACAGGTCAGTTCTGCACCCCAGGCTTTGAAATATTGTATATTTGCTTTTGATGAAAAGTTATTATAATGGCTTTGTGTTTTCTTATTAAATTCCAGATATATTTAGAAAGAGGTATACAGGGGAAATCCTTTTTTTTCCATACCTAACCAGCTTCACTGCCATTTCAATGTCTGGTTTGGTCCAATATAGAAACTTCTATGTGGTATTATTGTGTGCCACAGGCAAGATACTGCAGTGCACTGCAATAAGCTATTATTTTTTAGATATTATCATTCTGGCACATCTCTTTGGTGCTTAGCTGAACATTAGAAACACGTTTTTTCAGATTTGTCCAACTGTGGAGGTATTATTGTGTCATGGCAGCATTCTGGGTGCTGTATATTTATCCGCGTTTTTTGTGTGTGGACAGAGAACCGAGATCTATTTATTCCTTCCAAGACATTTTGAAAGGAAATAGACTAGTCTTCCAGCTGAGCAGTCCTTCTAAAGAAACAGTGCTATTAATAGAGATGTGCTATCAGTGAACTCCTCTTTCCATACTGTCAGAAAGACTGTACCAGACTTTAGTGCAGTGCCATTGTAACACAAAGGAAATGGTGCTCTAGTAAAACAGTTGTATAGCAGCCTTTGTTAGTTGCTTCAGAAAAAGACATTAAAAGGGGGGACAATAAATGGTTAAAGCTTTGCAGCTCTAGCGGTGCGTCTAGGTTTATTTTGTGATATCGGGTATGTCATTCTTTTTCCTGCTGTTCCTTAGTCAGTGGTCTTGAATGATCGTAAATACTTGGTATTTGTTTTGGTTTTTTGTATATCTCAGACTGTAAACCTTTTAAGAAAAGAATATTTAACCTATTTATGTACCACACTGTGTTAAATATATTAAAAAATAATACAGAAGTGCTTCTGCTGGGTATTTAATAGTCTAACACCGGGTTCCGCAGACTGACCTTGTAACTTCTCCTTATTTCCTCTTTTTAGTTACCCTTTTCTTTCAACTTGTTTACAGTGTTGGTAGTGAAAGTGGTGACTGGAAATATTGGACTAATCTGGTCAGTTACACACATCTGGTATCCGAAAAGTAATGTAGGTATAGTACTGCACTAACAGGATGTTTGAAATAATAAGGGGGAATCTGTGAAATGTTTCTTGTTACTTCCCTTACCATCGATATATGGAAATAGGATTGCAGTGCAATACAGGGTCACCAAGAGCCAGAGCCCAGCAAGCGTGATCAGATATACTAAGATATCTAAATGCAACACTTTCTGCTGTGATATTGCCTTTATAATACTGTACTCGATTCTGGGATTCCAAACTAAGCCAAGGATTCAATACACACCTTTCTTGAAGTCAACTCTATAAATAACACACTGAACTGCAAATTTACTCTCCTAACGTTCATACAACATTCAATAAGGAGAACGTACGGAGAATCCTAATCTGGACTTCAAGTAGATATTTTAGGTCCAGGTTTGAAGATGGAGAATACTTCAGGGTTACTGGTAAAGGGGTTCTTGTTATTGGTTCAACAATCTACTTCTGACAGGACACGACCGAATATTTAAGGTCTCTGGTTTTTAATGTGGTGGATGTTTCATATGATAAAGTTTCCACTGGCAAAACTGAGTCAGGGGGTAAATTGGAGCCATTTTGCTTTTCCCTGCTGAAAGATGATATTTTAAACCAGTTTTAGGTCTTTAGGAGATGGGAGCAAGTTTTCCAAGGCTTGCTTGTACTGTACTTTGCTTTTCCATTTTCCCATAATTCATGACAGCATTCCCTGTCACCGCTGATGAGAAGCAGAACTACACTATAACATAATGCTGCCGTCCCCATGCTCGACAGTTAAGATCGTGTTGACCAATATCATGCACATGTTGGATTTGTCAGGCGTAACGCTTTGCATTTAAACCATAAAGTTACACTTTTGTCTTGTCTGACCACAAAACCTTTTGCCTTATCTTTATAGTATCACATAAAAGCTTTGTTGCATATCCCGTGCAGAATTTGATGGGGTTTTTTCCCAGTTCTGTGCAGACTAGTTTTATGCTGTCACTGGGTTATTGTTGTCTCGTAGACATTTTCTGTAGCTCTTTTAGAGTTGCCATTGGTCTCCGAGGGGCATCCCTAAGCAGTTTCTCTATGCTCAGCTACTAGGTATGGAGAGACGGTTTGTTCTGGGAAGAGTCTGAGTGTCCCCCAGTTGTTAACAATGAACTTCCCTTTGCTCAAAGTGTAATTCAGCGTCTTTAAAATGTTTCTCTGTTTTTATACTTGTCTCCTGGTCTGTGCTATTCTGAATCTTTATCCCTGAGTTTGGAGAGCTCCTTGGTTTTTGCTGTAGAATCTTTGCTTTAAATGAAAATCTCACCAAGTTCCTTACAGAGACGTGGATTTATGATGAAATCACGTGAACCTCTTTTATTTTGCACACAGACAGAGGCCACTCAACTAATTGTGTGACTTGTTCAAGTAGTTTTGTGCACCTGAACTAATTTACAGTTAATTTAAATATATATGTAAAAATATAAGTAATTTAACTAGTTTACACTCCCATAGCAAACGGAGTGAAAGCTTGTGCCTTCACCATTTTATTCTTTGATCTTTCTTTTTGCAGTTTTTAAAAGTTTGGAAGATCTTGGATCCATAAGTGCTCAGCTAAAGCATTCAAGTCTGATTAAACCTATTCACTTAGATTCCTCAAAAATATTAATGTAGATATTCACTTGTACGGTATGCAGTCATAGAAAGATATGAAAACATACATATACATAGTAGGTCAAATACGTAGCTGTGTCAGCATATGTACAAAAGGCTGCAAAGGAACAAGTAAAGGTTTATTCCATGCTGAAAAGAGAAGAAAAGAAACAACGTTTCAGCTGTGGAGTTTTCTTCTGATATCTTAAGATATCACGCTTCACATCTAAAACGTGTTTCTTTTCTTGTCTTTTCAGCATGGAATAAACCTTTGCTTGTTCCTACACATATACATACCGTTTATGTAAAACAATATTGTTGTTTATCTTAGCCTTCTCAGTGTAGCACAGTGGTTTTTGTAGAAGAGGTCATATTCAAATGAAAATCTTGTAATACTGGTAGCTAAAAAAAAAACTACTGTGAATTAATACAGAACAACAAGGGTTTAATTAAAAATGAGTTAAGCATTGATGACAAAAATAATAAACAGTGTGGCATAGAAACAAAAAGAAAACAAACATCTGTTTATGCTGAAAAGGGATGTATTCTCATGAAGGCATTAGTCCTGTGTTCTTTCTCAATAACCCTGGAATGCAATATAAATAGTTTAATAACCACGTTCGCTTCTTGCGCCCTCCGCTACAAAACTAGGCATGTTACTAATCTAACCACTGTTTTACTCAAGAGCAGAAAACAGAGTCATTAACCCACTTCCTTCAGCACGAAGAACCAGCCAAACGATAGGGGCGTGAGATGAGATATCTGGGTAACGGAGTGATGTGATCAGTGTCAGGAGAAAAGAGGTCATTTCTCATCAACAGAAAAGGAGCAGGAGAGGCCAACAAAGACTTCTAAAGGAAATCCTTCATCCTTAAAAGCATCAGTTTGGAGGGGGGGGCAGAAATTGTCGTGGCTGGGCTGTAGGTAACGGGTCTGTGAGGAGTGAGCAGAAGAAGAGAAAAAGGAGAAGAAAAAAAGGTCAGCACACAGGAAGGAGGAAGTGAAGTGAAAGAGCATCTGATATCATTAACTCCCTTGTTTCTCTAAAAACGGTTGTAGGTGAGTCTCCTGTAGGAGAAATGTCACTCAAGATTCGGAACTGGGACTTCAACCTCCGAGCTGAAGCCAGCAAGATAGGTAAGAGCACGTTCGACTAAAGCATTTGCTTCTGGTTATAGAGAAGGGGAACGGGCACTGGGTTACGCACACTTGATGCTTCTGCTAAGACAACTTCCCCTTTGCTCTCTGTCATATAGGCTGCCTCTGTTCAGGGATGCTAACCCTGTTGCTACTAAGTCTTCATGATGGCGTATCCGTTTTAAACTTGCAATAAAGGGGTGTTGCATATTTATTAGTAAAATACATTCTCAAACGTGGAGAATTATATTTAAGTATAACAGAAGACTGTCAAGCAGCAGTGTTTTTTTCTGTACCAGTAAAATCATAGTAAAAAGGATTCTAGAAAATGGACCACTATCATCTCTATCGCCTGCTACTGACATGTAGTTTGTCATGGTCAATTTGCACCATGAGCTGTCGAATCTAGTATCTTTCTGATTTGTTGGTTCAGAGTGATTTCCTCTGGCATGTTTCGTTCTAATGCCATGCGTTTACAGCTTGCACACACCACTAATGCTGCCGGAAGACAGATTTCCTCTTCTATGCAAGTTCCATCATAACTTTGATCTTTAACTCACAATAGCTGAATTCAAAACCTCTGTCTTCCACCTCAAGTTTCGACATCTGCGTGCTTTTGCATCATACAGTTTTGTAAAAGCTACTGAAACAAGGCTGAAGTTAGCTGTTTATCCATGTCCTGCTATGTCGTTTATCCATGTCCTGTTTGTCGGTTTCTGTCACTGAAGGTGAGACAAAGTACAGTACAAATGACATAGTTTGGAGGCAGTGGGTCTTAGCATTAACAACTGTAACTTTTGAAGTTTAATTGGAACAAAAATGAGCTCCAATTATGTCAGTATAGTTTATCAGGCTTACTATGAAAAGATATTAAAAATATAGCTGTACAGTACATAACCCTTGAGATCATTATGTAGCTTTAGTAATAATGGTCAGTTTTACTTCAGATGAAAAAGGTTAAGAAATTTGAACAAGCTCTTGATAGACTATGGTTTGCAGCTACCCCTTATAATGCATTGTAGTTTGTGTTGCATTTGTAATTTGAAAGGTTTGAAGTGGAGGCTTTCAACAATGCTCCGTGCAAGTTTTTGAAAATATTGTAACATGCCATTATGATGAAATACTGATATCAGTCAGTAATGTTCTGTAAAAACTTGTTATGTTTTAAACATGAAACAGAAGTCAAGCAGTTAAGCTGGACAGCAGTGTGGCAATGTTTTTCATTTAAAAAGATCAGATGGGGAAGTCATTTTTAGCAGTGTCATATTGGACTGTTTTTTCCATTCATTCACTTTAAATAAAGATACAGTGGATCTATGTAATGCTGAGTTCCACGAAACAACATTCTCCTAGACACTTCACAGGAATCATTATTTATATTTAATTGCTTTACAAATGTCATTCTTTGCAGTTTAACATATGGGTTATGTCTCAGTAATATTCTGCAGCTCCAGGTCCAGGATTAAGGATTCACACAAGGTTTAAGCACATTGCTGACTTGTCTGCCGAAAGACATCACTAGAAAGTATGAGAGCTGTTATTAAAAGGAAGGCATGGAGATTGAGAACCAGCTGGTCCCTTTTTTTTAACATGGATCCTATTGTCTTATTTTTAGTCTCTTTACAGAGCGGCACACAAATATTTTGACACCACATATTTTAAAGGGATCGTAAAACTTTTACACATATGCAATTAATTTTATCAAAAATGACTTGAGTGACATTTACCAAATTCTTAATCAATCACATAGGTCAGTCCCAATCCAAATAATTCTCATTTAATCTTCCCTTGAATGTGAGGACGTTACACTGGGCTGTGAATTAAAGGAGGGCTTATTGCTGTATTGTGATGGTGTGTGAAATGTGAGCCAAGTGAGAAGAGAAACACACTACAGAGGGTTTCAAATTGCCAGCTTTGTATGTTTGTCAGTGAGACAAACATACAAAGCCTCTAAGCAGATACTGTATGCAGGGCTTTGTGATGCAGTCGAATACAATAGGGTTAACGGCTTTACATTCAGATCAGACAAATGTCAGTCGGAAAAGAAATTAAGGAAGACTCATAAAGATGTCTCACTTACAAAGGCTAGAATATTAGCACCAAACCTGCAATTTCACCAGTTCTCACTCACATAAAACAATCCCACTCCGTGTCACTCCTTTCTGATCTTCAGCAGACACAGCTGGTTTGCTTGTACTGCCATCTGGGCACAAGTGATGCCAGGATTGCTTTCTGAAATGGCTCACCAGACTACAGAAGTTACCCCCTGAGAATTCAAACCCAAGCAACAAAGGTGATTCCTGGTTCCTCAGGGGATTGTTGTATACAGTCAGGCTGAGGAAGATGAATCTCCTTAGTCCAGTACCGAGCAGATCTGATTCAGGTATACAAAATCCTAAAGTTTCAACCGAGGGGACTGTTTCACACTCAGCATTTAAATGGAACATGGAGGTTATCTCCTACTTTGGCCTAGTGAGATATTAAAATTTTAATACGTTACTGACAAAAGATGACATGCATCTGAGTGTTGCCCACATCAGCTATTTACTGTATACCACATCCTATAGGTACAATTCTTGCTAGGACAACATCTTCCCTTGCTAGGACAAAACAATGTTCAATACCCTAAAAAGAGGTATTATCAAATAGGAATACACAAAATATTTCTTACACTTCAGCCCAGGTTAGACCGAAGCTTCAACTCAAAGAGTCAAAAATTACAAGATTGGGTTTTGATGATGGCGTTAGGTTTTCCAGAAGCTTCCTTTTTTTCTTAGAGAAAATCCACTAGTCAGGTTGGGGGTCTGTAACTTGGAAAGGGCAGACAGACTGGAGTTGTTCTTTAATGAATTAATACCCTTACTGTACATACAAAGAGGGGCAAAATATATCTGTTCCATTGCAGTGTTATTTCACTCATGCTTTAGTTAATGCTTTAGGATTACTGATCATCCATTAGAAAATTTCAGACATGCTAAAGAAATGTATTACTTAACATTGTATCATAATTAATAATGCCTCTTGCAGTCTACTTGCTACTGTATGATACATTCGGTAACGTTTAGTAAATGTGACAGTTTAAATGAAGTGCCAGGTTGAAGACCTTTCTCAAAGGGCCAATGGTTCTTTGAGAAAAGATGAAGCAGCTGTATTTAGGTGGAGATCTTAAAAATCTTCTTCCTGCATGATGGTGAGACTTCCTGTTTGGTCGGGTCATGGACGCACTGGTTACTTCTGATAAGACAGTGTTTTGGTATTGCAGGTGGTTTTCTCTCATGCCTTCCCCAGTTTCTCCCAAAACTCTGCGTACATTTCTCATTTACAGGACAAAACCTGATATCTTATCTGTCTTAGACAGTGCCAGCCCTTCTTCTTAAGCATCCTGTAAATGAAGTGACTGTCAGATAATAGTTAGACGTTATTTAAAACTGCTGTGCCAGATTAACATGAACTTGTGCCCAAATATGTCTAAAAACAGATAAATGCACACTTCCTTTATGATTTTGTTTTTACTTTCGATTGTTACAAAGGATGCAGGAAAAGCACTCTACCATTAAACTCGTTTGCCATTAAAACTAAACAATTATTCAAAAACAGATGGTCTGGCTTCCAACATTTTCTGGCAGTCACAAGCTGATCAGACAAAAGTATATCACAGGGTATTTACAAATTATTTTATTTCTCATTGAACATGTACTTTGCAATAATGTGCACTGTACAGCACTGTTTCTGTAATGCGGTACTTCAAATGTATGTACTTTGTATATTTTCAGGCACTCCATTCTTTATAACACAATAAACAAATACACCATGTTATGAAAGAATTACAAAAATCAGATAGATAACTTTGATGTAATCTGGGCATCAGATCATCCATGATGTACTGCATAACAATATTGATTTGGACAGAACTCTGCTGGAGGTACACCACCCTGTATTCAGTCATTAGTATCTCTCAGTTGGGCCCTGTCTGATAGATGTAAAACACTTATAAACCTAATGTGCTAAATATGGTCAGTTTTCACTTAAAATTAGAAATGCATTTGTCTTCTTTGTGCGGCATTTCAAGAGAACAATCAAGGGAAATTTTCACTAAAGGTGTTTAACATAAATGACCCCTGCACTCCACCTGTGTGTATTTTTAAGTCATACATCATATTTCTAGTTATTGCTTTTTAAAAGTATGAAAAAGGGCTGTTGCTCTTAAGCAGTTCCTTGAAACCATAACAAACAAGTTCAATTTTTTAAATTAAAGCTGTCTGGGTAATGCTGGTATTGTTGGGACTTGTTCCACTGAAGCACCAGAGTTCATTTAACACTAATATCACTGTGGGTGCTGTAGGTTTGTATAGGCAAGCAGAGTCTGCTGTTGATTCAGCCATTTTACGGCCACACCTGAAAATACGCCCATTTGTACTTCCCTAAACGTAAGCTGAGAGCTGTACTGTTGGCTAGTGCATTGCTAGGAAACCTGGCCTACTGTCAATCATTGTGATTTTCTTCAAAACATTTTTTTCTTCTGTTCTCCAAGACCAAGAAAAGCTCTTGCCTTCACATTTTGCGTTGGTTGAGTTCACATTTCTATTTCTGTGGTTTGAGGTGTTGCAAAAGAACTTTCAAAGTCATTGTGCTTAAAAAAAAAAACTTTGGTCCACATTTGCTCTCTCCATACAGAGCCCTTTTTTTAAAATCCCTAAACTTAAGTGGCAAAACCCATAGCACTTACTTTATTTTTGTTCTCCTCAACTGTATTATTTCTAGCTTGATAGTCATCTCCATTATCTTCATACTTCTACAATTAGGTTCAGCAACTCAGGAAATTCTTCAACTTTAGAAATTCAGCTCTGGAGCAAAGCTTGGAAGTACTCCTGTGAATTGCTTTTCAGTTTTTCTTTCCTCCGAAGTTCGCTGCTGCATTCAGCCAAAACCCACGGGCCCCAGTCAGCCTATAGCACACTTCGTAAAAAGGCTTTTCCTTCTATGGAACAATCACTACCCATATGAAACGATTTGCTCAACAGGAAACTGATCAGGTCAAAAGCTGGACGGCTACTTCCTCCCAGCTGCAGCATGCTGACACACAGAGGCACACAGACACAGCATACAGCTGGGAAAACATAAGCTTGCATGTTCATTGTAGGAAATGACGCTTCAGGACAAAAATCTAAGCAATACGTTTGGTCTCTCAAATGCCATTTCATTTACATTTTTATATATTGAATATTTATCTGAATCGTACTAGGCAAAAGATTGTAAAGGCAGCCAGTATCATTCTGAAAGGTCATTTCCTTGTTTCTCTCACAAGCCTTTTTTTCTGATTTCTTTTTCTTTTTTTTTTTACCTTGTTGTTGCTTCAACGCCGGCTATGCTCAACTTGCCCTTTCCCCTGGCAGCTCGGTCTAAGAGCGTCATGCCAGCCGACCCCTCCTCTGGCCTGGGCCAGCCTGGCTCCTCGAACTCCCTGGACAGACCACTGAAGACAGGCTGGCTGAAGAAGCAGAGGTCAATAGTGAAGAACTGGCAGCTGAAGTACTTTGTGCTGAAGGGACAAAATCTCTATTACTACAAGGATGACAAGGATAGTACTTGCCAGGTGAGAAAGGGGTGGGCTCTGTGTGAATGTGACACAGCTACAGTATGTGTGTTAACTCCTTCATTTCACTAGTCCTTGTCTGTTTACTTAAATGCAGCAAAAAACTGTTGTTTGATTAGTCACATTTGTTGCTGTGGTGCAATATAAAAATCACAAAACACAGCAAATAAGAAGGTGCAATGGCTTATTTCTTTTAAAAAGAACTATTCTTTGAATGTTCTGACTTCTTACTGCTGGAAAATACATGTATTGATTGTTCCACTCTTGGGATTTTGTGCTTTGTTACACAATGGGTTCATATACATAGTACACACTATATACTCTTAATAATCAGTGAAAACTAAGACAGACTATATACAGATAATGTAGTTCAGGTGGGTAGCTGCGTCAGCATGCGTAGGCTGCAAAGGAACAAGTAATAGGTTTATTCCATGCTGAAAAAAATAAAGAAAGAGAACACAACGTTTCGGCCGTGGAGCCTTCTTCAGGAGCCTTCTTCAGGAGCCTTCTTCAGGTGTGACACACCTGAAGAAGGCTCCACGGCCGAAACGTTGTGTTCTCTTTCTTCTTTTTTTCAGCATGGAATAAACCTATTACTTGTTCCTTTGCTATATACAGATAAACCAATTTAAAATAAGTCCTACTTCTAACCTGATGAATTGGCAGAGATGCTACAGTTCTGGCTCAAGTGCATCATAAATCTGAACAGTCCTGCTCTTTTCATTACACAGCTAACCCACCAATCAGTGAACTGAGTGTGTCTCTTATGTCTAGGGATACATTGCACTACAGTCCAGTCAGATAAATGAACTTCCTTCGAATGCTGATGACCCCAGCAAGTTTCTATTTGAAATCATCCCAGGTAAGGCACAAAAATGCTAACTGCACCATGCTACAGTTGTATTGCTGCGTCCCTGTGTTTTTCTATGTGGTTAGTCTCTGGATTTATAGGATAGTGAACGAATAACCTTTGAAATTAGGCTTTTCACAAAGCGCCACTGTCCTTTTTACAGCTACCATTAATCCCAGTGCTGACAGACTCTGACCCTGGGTTCCCTTACAACTTCAAGAAAAGCTGAAAAATAAACTTACTAAACCTTTCATCAGAAGTACAGTTGGATTGTGTTTCACTTATTGTGCATGGTAATAAATCTGCTTGCATTATTAAGATAATAATTAAGTGACCATTATGCATGCAAATACTTTTCACTAGTGAATCTGTCAACCTGACCTATTCTGGCTTTGTTATACTATCATAGCCCTCAAATATTTCTCTTATTTCTTGTTTAAATAATAGCACTGGGCTGAAAAACAGTTTTTTTTAGAATGACTGATGTAAGGGGATTCATTTGATTCTATAGTGTACTTCGTAATACAACATAGTACTTCAGCACTTGGCAGGGTGAAAATGAATTATGGTTACTGGGATTTTTGGGGACTTTCATGTAATCTCTTTGGGACTGTACTGTGTATGCCAGGTGTTAGATCAGCCCAAAATACTATTTTCTGTTAGTTGCATCTAAGCTTTGTTTCTGCCTCAGTAGAGCTGAGCAAGCTGGTTTGCTCTTTAACATAATTATATTCAATGTCAATCTATTCACGTTCTGGAGGATGTAAATAAGCACTTCACAGTTTATTCTGCCTTACTGTAATAACTGCAGTATCTGTGATGCAAAAGCTCACTGCCACATGAATAAGGCAACAAATTCCCCTCCACTGACAGTTCTAGGAAGTTCTCTGGAGACCTGCTTATTTCCTGCGGACACAGTATAATATTCTAGACATTATTCTAACACTTTGGTCAGTGGGAGGTGACAAGCACATTACGTGATTCAGTGATAACTTCTGCTTTCCTCAAGGAGCTGAAGAGTATTTACCTACATCTCTTGTCTGTGTCAGGGATATGGCCAGCCTTGCAGTAGCTATGTATAGTGTTCTGGACTTGATCTCAGCCAAGGGGTTAATCTGCAACTCAGGCTCAGCTGACCCAAGGCTTGCCTTACAGGTGGCTTTGGGGACCGAGAGCGGGATTCCCACATCCTTATGGCAAATTCCCAGAACGAAATGGAGGAGTGGGTCAAAACCATCCGCAGGATGATAGGAGCGCCCTCCAGTGGAGGTACACAAGACACACAAGCCCACAAATCCACCACTTTGTATTAAAGCTTCATATTGATGTATGTCAAGTATGAATTGCACAGTTAACCAGTATGTTCTACTTATTTACATTGACTTGCAATAACATAAATCAATTTACTGTACCTGGGGTTCATAAGACTTTCCAAAGAATGCCCGATAATAATTACATACTGCAGGAGGCACAATGCAGTAACCAATTTCATGCAGACTTTTGTAAGTCCTCTCCAATGGCCATAATGTACACTTCGTTATGAAGTCATTCAAATTACATCAGCAACATTTGCAAATGGATAAGAACTGATTTCCAACCTTTTCACATTAGGTCATCTTTGTAATGGCACCTCAGGTCGAAACAGCCTCCCCAGTTTACCGAGAGGTGGTTTCAATGCTCTGTGGTGATGTAACAGCCCCACTACTCTTTGTTATAGCTGTCTTTGGGCAGAATCTTGCAGACACTTTGCTGTATGAGCAGAAGTTCGGGCATCACTCCGTGCCCATTCTAGTGGAGAAGTGTGCCGAATTCATCCGGGAACACGGGCTAAGCGAGGAGGGCATTTTCCGTCTGCCGGGACAGGACAACCAGGTGAAACAGTTCAGAGATGCCTTTGATGCAGGAGAGAGACCCTCTTTCCCAAGGTACGTTCTTGGAGGTGACAGCTGCACATGCATTTTGTATCAGATTAGTGAGTTTCAGCTGACATTTTGATTGCATTGGCTTCTTCCACCTGGCCTTGACAGGATATTTGTGCTGTGAACTGGGTTATTTTTGACAACATCGATTAAAAAATGAAAGCCAAACTCTTTTTTGGTAGCAGTGGATCCTAGAGAAGCAGAAACAGTCAGCATCCAAGTGGGTTAACAAAGAAAACTTTTTCTGCACCAGTTTTCAGTGTTGTTCTTTATTGTTCCTGGTAAAGTGTCTTGTATGTCCATAGTTTGTTTACAGGAACTACAGATTTGTAAAAAAAGAAAATGAACATGGTACAGACTTAATTTTAAAATCATAAATGCTCTGTTCATATTAATATAGTTTGTATGGTTCATCCTTAAGAGATTGCATGGGAGTAGCCTGGAAAACAATTGCAGTAAAAGATAGGTGTGCATTTAAAAAAAAAAGCAAAGCCAAAGCAATTATGAAGAGGTTGAGAAATCACAGTCTGTGACCTACATACTGTACTGGACATGAGTCCATGGTGTCCAAAGCTGTATTATGTTACAGTAATGATGCAGCCCCACCTTCTCCCTGCTGACTCACTGCTCAGTTCTCTCCTGTGGAAGCCACAGACAGCCAGGTAGCCCACAGTCACTGAAGTACAGCTTGACACAGAAACAACTTGCAGCCTCCACACCCTCCTTCTCACTCAACCACATCCTGTCTATTCAGAATGCTCCTCCGAAGGATGTTCAGACTGCACAACAGCAAGCATCGCACACCACAATAAAGCTGATGGGCTGGATTGACTGTTGCTCCCATTTCTTGCATTTGTTGTCTTGCAATGCACATACTGTATTTTTTCGACCTATTGATCTACCTCCACTTTTATTCCTGACCGTAAAACACAAAACAGCTTGTTTTGTTGGTTATTATGGCAAAAACAGAGAGATGTTTTCTAAATCTGTAAGCTGTTGGGAAGGAATGTATTCCACTCTCCCCTCTTTTTAAATCATTCTCCAATAAGATAGATTTCCCAATGTGCCAGTCCTGGAGTCTTCTTAAAAAAAAAATGCAGTGTCATTTTCAATACATTGTATATTGAGTTGGGTTTTTTTTACCAAAATATCAAGATTTGCCCTTTAAAATAAGCCTAATATAACTTTTCTCTGTTTTCTATAAAATAAGAGGGAGGAACATCAAAAGTGGAGGAATAAAAATATTTTGATTGTGGTCTATTTTTTATAAATACATTCAAAAGTCGTATGATGATTTTGTCTTGCAGTGACACTGATGTCCACACGGTGGCCTCCTTGTTCAAGTTGTACCTCCGGGAGCTTCCTCAGCCTGTAGTGCCCTGGTGCCAGTACGAGGACTTTCTGGATTGCAGCCAGCTTCTCAGCACTAACCAAGAGCTGGTAGGTGCTACCGCATACAGTACTGTACACCCATCTGCATATTTTGATGTTTTGATGTTTGATCTTTTTCCATTATCAATGGACCATGTGGAAAGTCAGCTAAAGAGACAGATGCAAGTACAGCGACACTTGACAGCCACTAAATTATTTGTAAATAGCCACGATGGCAATTATTTATGCAATTATTATTTAACTGGCAAATAGTTTAGGGATGTAGTACTGGCACCGGGAGGGTGTGTCATTTTGAGTTGCTGCTTCTCAGGTCTTGCGTGTTGTCTGGACTGGGGCACATTCTGTGTGGAGTGTGCATGCTCTTCCCCATGTTTACATGGGTTTTTCACCCTGTGCTTTAGATCTCTCTCACTTTCCAAAGGCATTGGTGTCTAGGTTAACTGGTGTGTGCACTGTGTGGTACTGGCTTCCTGTGCACTATGATGCCAGGATAGGCTCTAGGTTACCATGATCCCAGCCAGGAGTAAGTTATCTGATGATGAATGGATAGCATACATTTCCAATTATCCTTTAACTGTTGCATTCATTTAAAATATCCATAGGGATAATTGTTCACTAAAAAAAAATTGCTGCATTCAAACACAAAAGGTTGTTGATGACAATATTCTGTGATGCACAGTCTGAAATATTTAAGTATGACTTAAATATATTCCAGGGTCGAGTGAAAATAGAGAAGCAGATTTCCCTCCTTCCCAGAGCCAACTACAAACTTCTCAGCTACATCTGCAGGTATGCTACATTTAATTTTCTTGCTAATGTTCTGTGTGCAGCTTAATTGGTCTTTCTTATTTCATGATTTAGAACTACAGTATCTGTTTAGAAATCACATTTCATGCCTTCTGACTGATTGGAGTACAGTATGTAAAGAAAAAATGAATATATGATCAGGCTATGTATTCTCGAGTGAAGACTCGAACAAGGAGCCCTGTGCTCTGATGAAATAATACGCTGAGCTTCGGACAATGACAAAACGTGCCCTCACTGGTTTTATATTAAGGGCTTCATGCACCTCCAGTATCTGGCCAGCAGAGGTCATTCGTTTCCTATCCCATGTAAAAGAAGGTCTAACCATTGCCTACACTGAAATCCCAGTATTAGCCTGTTTTATCACTCTTGCCCTGTAACAGATGCCAAACATGTAGAGCAGATTGCTGGATCCATTCATTGCCTGTAAGAGTGCTCAAGACATGCTGAACACTAGAGGATGAAGGAATTATTTGCTGTGAATCATGGCTGTTTGTCACTTGAATGCAGAGTTTCTTTTCTTGTTGCAGGTTTCTATATGAAATCCAGCTGAACTCGGGTGTAAATAAAATGAGTGTTGAGAACCTTGCCACAGTCATAGGTGTCAACTTGCTGAAACCCCGAATTGAAGATCCCGTCACCATCATGAAAGGTGAGCTCTGGCTCTTAGGACTCCTACAGTAGCTGGGGGTTTCGTGTTCAAATCCTGCTTTGAATGCTGCTGTTGTACCTTTGAGCCAGGCACTCAGATTGCTAATCTGAGTAAATGACCTGCTGTATGAATGGGTAGTCTTCAACTGTACATTGTATATGAGAATGTGTTGATTGAATTACCTGGCCAATAAAAGGATTCAAAAATCAGTTTTAAAGACATGACCTTTCATCTTGTTGTTTTGTTACCTATGTAATTAAACATCATGAGGAGTTGTTCAAAACCCAATGTTTTTTAAACACAAAAAAATATGGGTGGGAAGGGCATACAATGTAGATTTTCCAGGTTGCAATTAGTTCATGACAAATAAATCAGGTATTACCCCATGTATTACAATATAGACAAGATCGGTCACAGGCAACAGGACACTATTCTGCTCATCTAGCCTACAGGCGTTCTTATATAACAGAAATAGTGAGTCATCGAAATGGATTCATTTTACGTGACCCTGTAATCTGCAGGCACACCCCAGATTCAGAAGCTCATGACAGTGATGATAAGCCTTCACAATGAGCTCTTCCCAAAATCCAAAGATGTGGCTCCATCCCCCCCACCTCAGAAGAGTGACAATAAGAAGTCCAATATTCCCCGTAGCTCTGTGGGCTGGGATGTTACAGAAGGACCCACAGACAGCGCCAAGGATGACATAGTGAGTATCTCAACAGATTTGCATTGCATGCTTCTTCTGTACTATATTTTACATTTTTCAGCTTTATTAAAAAGCTAGTAAAGCAAAAACAAGTCTCCAGTTTTCTAAAATTATCCTGGATCCTTCAGGAATGAAATATGTTTATCTTGTCCCCCACTTGTCACAGCATTTGGCACTATATTCTTAATATCTTCCTCTCTGAAAGTCTTGTTGTTCCAACGCAACCTTCAAAACATTGCGAAGGCACTGTTAATTCGTAAATCATTGGTTTCTTTCTCAACAGCCTCTTTGTCCTTTTTCCTCCTGCAGAGTGAAAGTCGTTCTTTGTCCGAATCTGCAGAAGATGTGGCCAGGCTCCTAGACAGTGATGGTTTGGAATTGGAAGGAGCTAATTCCCTCACTTCCCCATGCACAGACCCCTGGACAGGCAGCCCTCGCAAGCGCACACAGACCCTGCCGTCTCGTACGTCCTCCTTTGGAGGAGAGGGCTCTAGGAAGAATGGAAGTGGGAAGAGGGCTGGGCTTTTAGAAGCTAACCTCTGGGGCCAGCCAGGATCTTCCCCTCTTGAGTCAGACTCTGAGAAAGGCACGCTCTCGGAGGATATTTTCAAGATTCTTGACCTCCAGCGGGTCTCTCTTTACCCTAGCCTGCGGAAAACTTCTGAACGGGCTGACTCCAAAGCTCTGGAAGCCACATCTGCTCAGGTTGAGGTGTTGCAGCCCAGGGAATTACAGAGATCTGAGACTGAAAAAGAGCAAAAGGCCACTACTGTCCAGAGCAGGGAGCAGGAAGACAATGGCAGCCAAAAGGTCTATGAAGATCAAATTAATAGGTATGTATATTCATCTTCACAAGGACTTCAAAATATTTTCTTTAGAATATCTAACGATAATTAAAGAAAATTCTTACAATCTCACTTTAAGATAAACACTATGCTTAGGTGCAGATGTAATGCAACACTACTGACACTACTTCTCTAGTCCTAAGGAAAGAAGAGATCAAATGTTTTGCTGCTTTTGGAGTTCACGCATTTTTTAAAATGATTTTCTTTTTTTTAAATTGTTGTTAGCACGTTTCCTGGCTGAAAGCTGTAGAAGATAGTACTTAATGAAGCTCACCCAGCATGTGCTTGTGTTTATTCAGCCTGCAGAAGAGGAACAACGAGCTTTCGGCCACAGTGGCTGAGTTGAGGGCGTCTCTGGAAGTGGAGAAACGGAGGAATACTGCTCTGGAGATCCGCCTTCGAAATGCAGACAGGGCCCGGGAGGAGGCAGAGAAACGGAACCAAATTCTAGACTGTGAGATCCAGCAGTTCCTCTCTAGAGAAAAAGCCACTGCTGGGCCCTCTTAATTTCAAGGCAAAAATACAGGACGCCTTGGCCTTACTACTGCCCCTCAATGCAGTATAGGCAGTGGCTCAAAATCAGGGCATAGATGGTTAATGCATGGCATGGAAGAAAAATAGCATGCAAGCATGGTGATGAGGTTAAATATAACCTAGGTTTAGCTCATTCAAGAATTTGTTAATTCTAACAATGAGATTTATTAATAAAAGCTCACTTCCTGGCGCATAATCAGTGGGACTGGTCATCTACCAGGGAATATAATTCTTCTTATGCTCCCCTTTACAGAAATGCGTAAGTGTCCCATGATCCTCACTGAAATTTGTGGGCCACTGGAAATAATGTTTGCATTTTTCTCATTGGCTAGTCTTGATTAGGACAATAAGTACCCAAAGTGGATTTACCTTGAATTTCTTCAAGATACTCCAGGACAGAAAAGCAAATTAAATTGCACTGCAAAATAATTGACAAGTACAACCACGGTACAACTGCAGAAATGTTTTCCTAATGTACCATGGTAAACGTTTGTAAGGTTTGAACTGGTACAGAAAGGCATCATTCTGCTGCAGTCTAATGCCTTTGTCTTTAATGCTTTGGGGACTATCCAAATCATTGGAGTTTTACACGGCAGATGTCATAGAAATAAAACCTGAGTGATAGTGCAGGATGAAGGTCCGAACTACTGCTATTCATGTGCAACAGAGACCTAACCCCAGGTGTCAAAGCACAGACTGAGGGAGAAGACCTGATATTGCTTCATTCCCTTGCAGCACAACATATATTTAAAAGATTTATAATGATATTTTGTATATAAGAAAAACGAAAACACAATAGGATTTTCAGGCGTTACAGCTAATCTGTCTGGAACAGAGTTGAATGTTGAAAATATTTTTGGATTGTTGTTCTTTGTTTTTGTTTCTTTTTTAAAATTTGGAATATAATATTTTATATTATGCACCACAGTACAAATGACGGGGCCTTCAGTTTTCATGTTGGGTATGCAGAATCCGTTAGGAGACGCTTCAGTATTATTTTATCATTCAGTATTTTCTTATTTACACTGGATAACTATTGTATAGTATCATATACAACCCAAATACATGAAATACTTGAATAAAAGCTACTGTCAATCTTTACAACTATATAAAAACGTATTGTCTGATGTATTTAACAACTCTTGTCTTCTGCATATAAACGTATACCGTTACTGTAGGTACATAAAGACTAATAATGCATCAAGCTGTGGATGTTCTCTATGAACACATATGGTATTCAATATGTTGTAAGATACAGCACTACACACTATTTTGGTCAAGAGAGGAACACAATTACCAAAACGAAGTTTCTGCATTAAGACTTTAGTTACAGGTCCCCTGCATTATTAAGTTACATAATGCAGAGTTTTTTACGCTGCCAAACCAATTTTTTCCTCACCAACCTGCAAGGCAAAGTAGTCTCAGTTTTAAAAATAAATCAGTCTTAGTTTGATGGTAACAGAATATACCATTACAAGCAATGTCAGGAATGTCTTTGGAGCACCGCTTTCACTACATGAGATCCATCTGCTAGTCAGAAGAGGCACGTTATCAAGGCACCAGGGGCAGGCTTTTTAAACACACATAGCTGAGAAAAGCCTAGGCACCTCATTAGACTGAGTATTATGCAAGACATCGTAGGACAGATAACAGGATGTCTGTCAAGCTTCAAGCTGGTTGGAAATACCAGTTCAGAAAGCTTTGCACCTTGTCCAAGAAAATGTCATGAAAACCAGAGGTACTTCTCCTTTCTGAGACTGTCTCTGTGTTACCCCTTTCCCCTGATGTGATCAGCCCCGTAGAACACATGTACAGTAGATGCAACACAAGACCATGTAGTGCCATGATTTTGCTCTCCCAGTGGACAACAACATGATGTTGTGTAAAGGGATCTTCAGGATTGTCAAATACTTTTTTCACAGATGACAAGTGGTGTATTATTAAGAGATAATATATTAATATTACTTGTAGTCATTACTACTAAGCAGATTTTATTCTCTGCTTCTGTAAATCAGTGTTTATGTCTTGAAATCTTATACAATTAGCTTCTCTCTAGGACCTCTTTAGGTCATGCAAAACAATCAATGGATAATGTACAAAAAAAGACATGAGTTTAATATTCAACAGGAGCCATGAAGGATTACACCACCATAGAAGCTCGAAGCACCTATTAAGGTCTCTAGTATAGCTATTAATCCCTGTGACAGCAGGAAGAAGCTCTGGGGGAACGCCAAAGGAGAAAGACAGGGAGCTGTCAGTAGACAGTGTCATCTCCCAGACTGCCATCAGCATCACACTGTCTTCACACAGACCCCTTATCATACATTTAACACCATGGAGAATTTCAGACTCAGACACTCTTAAATTTAGGTGGTGTGCCCATCTAACTGCTATGTCAAAAAGTCACGCAGGAATCTTTCAGGAAGAACAATGCCTTGTTAGGATACCTGGAATTGCGCTTATGAACTGCTTAACAATGTCTGCTAATGACTTATTGCATAGAGTACTGTTACAAATACAGTAGGAGGTTACAAAAATACTAAATAGAGTGGGATAATTAATCATTAAAATAAATAATCATAACCCCCAAACTGTAAAAGATATGCCAATCAATACACCCGAGCAGTTGGTATAATTAAAGACACTTGAGTTCTTTGCTCTCTTGAATAGCTGTACAAAAAGAGTAACAAATGAGAGGCAACATTAGGTAAAAATTAACAATGACAATAGCACAAACTAAACAACACACAATATAACACACCAAATATAATTTACTATATTTACAAACATAGCATCTCAGAGGCCTACATCCTGCCCAACCAAACAAAAACCCAGAGCACTAACCCAGTACTCAGAAATCCTCTATAATGCCTAATAGGCCAACAAGAGAGTTAAACCTGCATCCTAAAAAAAAACAGAATACATCCCAAAGCTAAATCTCTCTTCCTATAAATTTGCATGTTACAAAGTGAACAGTTTCCTATCTCCATATTCAAAAATTGATTGCATCCATTAACCTGGAGAGAACATCTTTAGAATGCCTGGGAATTCCTTATAAAAGGAAACCCGAGTTTCCTAAAATAACACACAGAACAGCAGGCTCTCTTAATCAAGGTTCAAATTCTTCGTTAAAACCTCGTCTTTAAGGTTGATTCGAACAAGGTCATCTCGCCTGGCACTCTCCTCTCTCTTCTCATCCCGTTTCCTCCTCCCTCATGTGTGTTCCCCTGCCTCTGCCTGACTGTCTTTTATCCTTTGTCTCTGGACTGTTAATGACTTTTTATTATTGAACAAGACGTTAACTAAGGTAAACCAGACTATTCCTCTTGATCAGTGTATCTATCTCGGATCTGCTATACCTCAGTAAACCTTCTCTTCTCTTCTCTCCATTGTTTCTAGATCTTGAGACCTGCAAACGTTAGGTTTCATTGACCATTTGAACAGTACATACTGTACATGTGAACACTTTTAAGGATTATGTTCCGAATAATGTGAAATATTGTTAAAGAGAATCAAAAATATTTAGATTCAATATTTGTGGCATGATATCCATAATGTCACAAAAGAATGACTGTGTGTTTTTTACAATATTTGTATGTTTCCATATACATACATACCGAGTCATTCAACATTTTAAGATGGACAGTTTCAGAACTTAAAATAACCAGGTTCTGCTTAACACAACAGGTAACACAGGACATATTGTAAGTGTGCAAATCCAAAATCCTTAAACATACTGAAAGAGGTTTTCAGCAGAAAATTCCAGTTTTTAACAGAGTGTCCAATGTACCATATGGAGAACATTTTGGTCATCAGTTTTACTTCTGGCACTTAACACCAACGTTAAATACCTGACAGGTAAATTGGGTGGGTTGTGGGGGTAATGTGAAGAAGACTGCAGCAGAGCTTTAGAAAAGAGTTCAGAAGGTTGATTGGATTATCCCATGTGGACTCATCATTGCATCTTGCTGTGGTCATATCTGAATATCTCACACCCTGCCATCCACCTACTGGACAGTTAATCAACCATTCTTAGCTGTAATGAGGGAATTTGTCACATTTTCAGTGTGAGGCACGTGTTTTGGAATAGCCCTTCTAAGTAATCACCTACTGCTTCCTCTGAAATTTCCACGTTATGGACCAGTTTACACTGCGCATCAAACTGTCTAGTCCTAAAACTACTTTACAGTTTCATTTACTTATCTTCATTCCCCATACAGTGGAACTTGTACTTTTACATCCACCAAACAGAGCTACAAAAACATCTGCAGCCCTGTTTTTTTTTTCTTTTTTCCCCTCCTAATCACACTTATAATGCAGGCAGGCATGAACAGTTAGGCATGAACTCAGTAATGCAAGATTAGATGGTTAAGTGAAATGTTGAATGAGCCTCAGAACTCTGTCACCTTTCCAGTTTAGTACTTCCCATCCTAGTTCATTCATTATTTCAAAATGTAAATATTACGTTTTCATATTAGCAAAGCGCACATATTATCTAGTAGTCATCTAGCTTCCTCACAGCCCTTAGATAGCTGTTCAATCTGGAAACACATATGCAGAAAAACCCTGCTCAGTTTGCAGCTGGATATTTTGAAGCAAATATGCAAGAGATGATACTAGACCTTGCCTGCCTGAGAAAAAATGATGAATAGTTTAAGTATATTCCAGAAGCTTTGTTTGCTCAATTTATGTATCCAGTAACATTTTTTAAAAAAAAGGTTTTATACTAGATGTACTAATTTAAATATTGTGCTGGAGATATGTAAAAAAGTTGGTGTCACGGTATCAGCACAGAGTGCAAAGATTAAGTGAAATTCCTCTCCAGTCCACAATAAGAACAGTATTATTTTTTTAACTTTAGTTTATGACTTTCAAATTAGTTTGTAAATGCCTACCGACGATGTTATTCACACTGAAGTATCCATTGATAACATATTTATATAACAGAACAATCTGACTTTTCAAATATTAATAATGAGTAAGGGTCCGTTCCTACCATATTATTAACACTTTATTGCTGTTTTGTGTCTATAGAAGCCTTTTTCAGCTAAGTCATTTCATCAAACAAGCTAAAACATTTTCTTAAGGCATGTGGAGAAAATCTGGAATTTTTTAAAAGTGTCTGCTGCCCAGTCTAAAAATATATAGAGGTTGATTAATATTAAGGTCTGGGATGTAGGATACCCATACATATTTGCATGGTTTTTAATATATACTGTACATACTGAGAAATATTAAAAACTCAGTAAAAGAATACTGACAACATATAGCTTTTTTTTAGTTTGAAATGCATTGTTCTCTCAGTATATATTGGAAGCATGACTTTAAAAAATATTGAGGGTGGAAGTTAGTAAGGAATGTAATAGTTAAAAAAGTTTTAATAAGATCAGAATCCCAAACACTTTTCAAAATTACTGTTTCTGCCTGAATCATTCTTGTACATATATAGCATGATATCTGTATTTATTTAAAGGTCAGAACGATTTGATATATTTATTTGCAAAGTGTCTGAACATAAACTAATACTAAAATGCTGTTTTTACTTTGCAATATTCATCATTCAAACACAATGAAAACTAATGTAGAACATGTAAGACATTTCCTTCTAAGATTTAGAAGAAGCACTATATTTTTACAAACACAATTGTTGAATAGAAAGCTCTGTGCCAGTATCTAGAAAGATAAATATTTTTTCTTGCACTTAATATGTTTTTATTACATTAAACATGTTGCAGTCACTCAGAAGATTTGATCATACAAGGTTCTTACTATCCAAAGATGCAAACCTGGCATGATTGGACATTAATCACAAAATCCAAAAGAACTGTAATTGTAGAAGCAATGTACAGATAAATCTCACAATCTAATGCAGGAAACGTATTAACAGGGGAATCACAGTGGCTTAGAAATGATAATATACACCAGGCAATTAGGACCCCCAAGAAGCTTGACACTGGTCCTATAAATAGTGAAATCCAGACAACCTTAGACCAGTAGAATAGGTTTATCTGTACTTTGCCAGATACAGAATTTGCAGTAGATGTCAATCACAGATACCAATCCTGCTAAATCTGAGCTGTGAAGTGGAAGGAAACTTGAGTGTAGTTTCCTGGTTGATTTTTTTTTTCAAACTGAAGAAAAAAGCCGCTGTTGCTTTCAACCTTTCCCAGACCTCTGCATCCTTCAGTGAACCAAGACATTTCCTATATTGCTCCAGATTGCTGTCAGAGTCTGATTAATTTCTTATATACATATTATATGCAGAGCTATACTGTATCTATACATTATTTCTTTCCATCAATTATGTTTCAAGCATGATGTTAAATATTGCTATTTTTCAACTTTCATCCAGTACATTCATCTAAAGCAATAACATTCAATCTAACTGTTCGTACTTCCATCAAACAAGGAAGGGTCTGTCTTTCCAGCAGTGCCACTTTAGCCTCTCATTTAGAAAAACTCCTCATCCTCTCCCACCCCATCAAACCATCCTATCTCGGAAGCTACTGCCTGAATGGGAATGATGTTTACAAAATCCTCATTAAGGGAGAGGGGATAAGACTGATAACAACACACAGAAACTTGCCCCTGTACACACACACACAGAGACACACACGCCAAAATTCTGTTGCAGTGCTTCCCAATTCAGAGATAAGAGAAAAAAAAAACAGACAAGGATGTCACAGTTGGACAAAGCAGAGTCATCCTGTTACTGAAGCTCAGAGATTCTCAAATTGGACAGAGAGCGCGAGAGTGTGTGGTCACAAGTCACAGAGTGGAGAAGCAATTCCAAACTTGTCAGCTCTGGTTGACACCAGCCCTGCCCTCCTGAGATTATAAGAAAGGCAAACCTTTCCACCAGTCATTCCTGCCAGCCAGCTAGCAAATTGAGCTGAAGGTGCAGAGTGTTGTCATTGTATTGGAAGGCAACGAACATCTATAGGTCGCCCCTGTGCTACGAAAGCCAGCAGGACTATGGACACTGTCAGACTGAGGTCACTTGTGGCCCTGTGGCTCCTTATCCACTCTGGGTGCTGCAGCCCTATCATGGCTCCTGAAGACCCCCGTCCTGCAATGGGGATGGACAGGCACAACCTCTTTGGAGACCCCCTTCTAGAGCAAGACAGCGAACTGGATTTCCAGACCTTCGTGCAGACGATTCGGGAGCAATTCCTAAAGACCTTCAACCTGTCGGGTTTCCCGCAGCAAGATGCCACCAAAGTGGAACCCCCAGAGTACATGCTGCAGCTCTATAACAAGTTTGCCAATGACCGGTCTTCCATGCCTTCTGGCAACATTGTCAGGAGCTTCAAAAATGAAGGTATGCACTTCACAAATTAAGGCAGGGATAGTGAACATTTATCTGCAAGTGTTTTGTATTTTAATTAACTAAGTGCTCTTGGACTCATGTCAGTGGGGAAGGGCACCTCCACAATATAAAAATCCAGTGGGTAGTCAGAAATTAGTGTTTACAATGCTTCTAACGATCACAAAGAATTCTGGGTAAAACAAATACGTAGACACATACATCTGGTAAGTGAAAGTACGGAAAGTTTATTTGTGGTTATTGCAAGTCTCAAGTCACATCTTAATACTGCCAATGACTATAGTATCTTTACTTATTCATTGAATCAGTATTTACTTAATGTATTTTCAATCAGTGTTATTATTGGTGGAGATCTTACCTCAGTGCACTTTGTCATTTATAAGATTTATAAGATCTCCAAGTGAGATTTGATTCTTATGAAATATCTGCTTTGTAGATTCCTGTCTCATGAAGATGTAGCTGATGCACTTTTGCTTTGAGGACAATGATGGTGAATTCAGGAATTAGAAGCAGATGCTAACTACCAAAGATAATGGTAAAAGCATGCAAAATAGTAAATTGCTAAGTTATTTTGTAAAGAAGGACTAATGTAAACTGAGCACACAACTCAGAAAATGTCTTTAATTTCTTAGACAAGTTAGGAGCAGAGTAAATGTGTTTATGTTGTAAATATTAAAAACTTAATATAAACCTCTGTTACTCTTATTAGTCTATTATTACAACTTGAAAAGTTGAGAAGAAACCAAGCTTGTCATTTTGATAAATTTAATTTACAGTGATTGAAATCATGAAAAATATGAAGTGTTGCAGTTTTGTAATACATCACAGTTTCTAATCTCTGCATATACACAGAATTTAAAGGCTGTTCATTTACTACAAAAAGATGATCTATCAGGATTTACTTTTACCATAAAGTAAAACAGTTACAATTTCAGTAGGAAAACATTACAGGATAATCTGTCTGCATACGGAAGGTGAAACATCAAATCTATAGATTAGAATAATGTGAAATGCACAAGATGTTTGTACATGCCCAGAAAATAATTTTGTTTTCCTCGGTGTAACAAACTAGGAAGATGTGGCTTTCAGATTACCTAACACGCAGTAGTCTTAACAAAACAGTGGAATACAAGCCAAATATATACTTAGGATATAAGTATATATTTGTAAGAAAAATCTGCACAATTTTGCTTAAACAGTAATACAGTTCATGAATAAAGCTTGTTGAAGGAGAGCAGTACTGTAAAACAATATGATTTCAAAAATATAAACAGAATTAAGGAATTAAGGTCATTTGACATCAGATAAGTCAGCATCCAAATAAAGAATTCAAAGATCTCAATTTTGCACACTATAGTTTAAGAATATGATATGTTGATTTTGACAAAGAAACAGTTGTTCAATGACTTCCAAAATCGTTGATAACTTACAAAACTTGACAATGGATATTATGGCACATGATTAAAGCACTTTCCATTGGTCAAAGTTCACAGCCCTACCAGTTTCCTGTTTTTGACTCACTAAAAGCTAGAGAGGAAATGACTTTAAGACACTTGCTATCAGAACAGAAATCTGTAAGGTGGGATACATACTTCACACATTACTGTCAAAGGAGAAAAAGTTGTGGGATGCTAGTGCAAGCAGTACTTAAAGATTAATAAATATAAAAACACAGAAACTTGTTATTTTATTTCTGTAAACCATTTTTTACTGTATTCAACTGTAGTGAAGGTATTTTGAGCTTTTTTGATTACCAGGCTTTTAAATTTTTATGTTTATGCAAAATCCCGTTTTGTGAAGTAGCATCAATTAATTCTCTTTCACAAAATTAATTTCTTTCACTAATCTTTCACAGAGATCAAAATTAATTATTCTGTAATTTTTGACAAAACTGACATAAATCATTGATTCATTGTTTATATATGTTTTGCAAAACAGAATGTGTTTATTTGGTTAAGTAATAATTAATTTTATTACTATGACTGGTTTCAAACATGCCCTTGAATAGGCATTTAATTCCCTTCATAATCTGGAAGTGCCTCCACACAAAATACTGGAAGGTGTGAGAAGAAGAAACAATATTTGCTCATTTTTAGGAAAAAAGAGGAAAAAAAGGCCTTCTAAATATGCATTATCTTGTACATAAGCTTCTAGTTACTCAATTTCTTTTCACAGGTATGCTTACAAGCAATATCTAAAAAAAATATTGCAAGAAAACATCTTTCCTTTCTGAAAAGACTTAATTGTGCAACAATATGAGGCAGCATTCATAAAAAAGTAACGTGAATGAAGTAAATGTGCCCGTTGGCAGAGTTCGATGAGTTTTTTTTTCTGATTCCTCTCTCATAGATACATCCTCATATAGCATGGACATCAGTGGGATCCGAAAACACCCCCTGCTCTTCAACGTGTCCATTCCTCACCACGAGAGAATCACCATGGCAGAGCTGCGTCTCTATACCTTGGTTCAGCGAGACCGCCGGCTGTACGAGGGAGTGGACAGGAAGGTGACGATCTATGAGGTGCGCGAGGGGAGACAGGAGAAAAAGGAGGGTCAGGAGCCGGAGAGAAGAGCCGGAGGAGAACGGGTTGGGAGAGAGGAAAAGCTGGTGGAACTTGCATCAAGGCAGGTATTCGGGACAGATAGTAGCTGGGAAGCCTTTGACCTGACTGAGGCCACCAGGCACTGGCGCAAGCTAGATTACACCACACATCGTCTGGAGGTGCACATCCAGAGCGTCAACGACATGGGCGGAGAGGCTTATGAGGGAGGAAACCTGGACATCGACATCAACCCCGAGGCCAAGCACGAGCCCTTGCTCATCGTCTTTTCCGACGACCAGAGCGGCGACCACAAGGAGGAGAAGAAAGAGCTCAATGAGATGATCGGACACGAACAGCCGCTGGAGCTGGAGAACCTCGAAATGGACCTAAATGGGCTGGGGGAGGACGGAGAGGAAGGTCCCAACGAGGAGTCTCTGATCCAGATGAGGTCCAACCTGATCTATGACACCGCCTCCCGCATCCGGAGGAACGCCAAGGGCAACCACTGCAAAAAGACCTCCTTCTACGTGGAGTTCAAAGACATCGGGTGGGATACTTGGATACTCGCTCCTACTGGCTATGAGGCATACGAGTGCAATGGAATGTGCACCTACCCCATGACAGAGCATGTGTCCCCAACAAAGCACGCCATCGTTCGGACTTTGGTTCATATGAGGAGCCCACAGAAGGTGTCCAGAGCCTGCTGTGTGCCCACAAAGCTAGACCCCATATCACTGCTTTATATGGATGACACAGGCGTTGTCACATACAAATATAAGTACGAAGGGATGGTAGTGGCGGAGTGCGGCTGTAGATAGTCACAGACTTTGAAATACACAAAAGGGGGGAATACATATGTATGTATAGTCAGCGTGGGGATATTTAATTTTACCTGTCTGTAAATGTGTAAATTTTGTATTTAAAGAAAGAGATTATTTAATGATTGTGTACAGTGTGTTTGTTAATCATGTTGTTAAATCTGTAAAGAAATTGTATGCAAAGAGTGAAATTGTCCTCTTACATTTTTCATCCTAAAATTAATTATACTTTTGCTTTGAAATAATTTGTTAATGAAGATTAATTTTAAAACATCTTTAAATGATGTATAAGCCTATATAGTTATGTCAGTGAGATTTTATATGAATTTGGTAGTATTCAATACTCAACGAGATGCAAAGCCTTCCTTCCAAAATTAAAGTAAGATACAAGTATCTGAAGTAATCATTTGTAAAGTGAGTTAGACATTAAATTTACTCAATTAGATGATTATGATGTAACATATTATCCTAAACAGATTTGCTGTTGATCATGTGACAAGCCTTAGATCAAGTACATCTGCGATCAATATGCTCTGTTCCTTTTTTGGATGTATATTTTTCATTTGATTGAATCTAGACTGCATAAGGCAAATCTAGCAAATTCTGTATGTGCATTTATCAGCCCCGGTGAACCACCATCAGAGTGTACAGAACTGGACCCACACTAGGAATGGAGAAACAGCCAAATACAGCAGCGATATACTGAGTCTACATCAAGGTGCAGAAAATAAGCTGACTGACACTGATGAAGGAATCACATGAACCATGTGGACAAAAGACTCTTCTTACCATTTTATTTCTAAGCTTTTCTTGCTTGTTTAAAGATATTTGCAGTTTTAAATGGAGAACCCGGGAGTCATTTCCAGAAAACCTGCTTTGTGAGACTACAGTGCAAAGTGAAGGGTGGACTCCTCATTCGAGATGTTTAAAAAAAGAACTAAGAACCTCTCTGGACACAAGGTACACAGCTTTAATCCTCAAAGACTGCAGGGTCATACAAATGCTCTTGATTTACCTGGCAAAACTAATTATTTATTTTGAATGATTAATAATTAACTGCTGATTATTCACACTTATAAACCCTACTGGACTGCAGCTCTTAGGGTCCAGAGTTACATGCTCAGTCCCTAAAGGACACATCAAGTTCCATGGAAGACCCAAGTCACTGTCAGAACTGCTTTTGAACTTCAAACTCCGAATGCATAACCCATATACTGCCACAACAGTTGTTTTCTTTCAGCATTTATTTCAGCAAATACCCTGGACAGCAATATCTCCTTGTCTCTCAAGGAGTAAAGAAAAACTGAACACAAGCATTTACAGTTACCTCTCTCTGGAAAGGATACACATGTATGGTTAGGAGGATAAACAGGACTTCAGAAAGCCCTACTATTCTGTGTTTGTATTGATTATATACCATCATGTTTTTCTTGAATTAGCCTCTAGTTTTGCTGGAACGTAACTGTCATGGTTGTCAACTTCAACCTATAATGCAGATCTATAACCTCAAGAATCCTAGTTTTTATGCCTAAAGAAAGGTAAAAAGAATTGTAGGCAAAGAACATCCCAGCTGATCAAATGTTTTCCTTCTGCTCCCCCTTTTAAGGACAGATGTTCAAACGGTCTGTTCCACCATTCATTTCCAGTAGTTTTAAAACACTATGGAAAAAGGCTTTTCCCTGTCAGGATGTCTCACGACAGAAACAGAATTGGCGTGGTATGCTGTTGTGCTGTATGGATGGCAGAAAAGCACAAGAAACAATTGGAAAAAAAAGAACTGGACCTTTCTCCACAAGTTATCTTCCCCCCAACAACCTTCACCAAGGATCACATGCCCTTTATTAGCACTTCCCTGCTCCCTATAGCTTCGTGATAAGGAGGTGTTAGGGCTGAGAAACATGTGTCCCGTCACTTGGTGGAACAGAGATGTGGGGAGCTGTCAGATTCTTGGGCTAATGGTACTGACGAGGACCCCTCCGTCTTGCAGAACTGCACTGTGACTCTTTTTTCACTTTTATGGCAAAGATCTCACTTATCATTGGCAGCGATAAGTGGAAATATCTGTTGAAGAGCATGCCTCCCCAACACTCCATGAGGGTCTCAAGGAGAAATACTTTTATCAAATACCAACGCTGACTAACTTTCAGCTGGGTTCACGCAAACTCCCTGCCCCTCCCTCCACTAGCCCCCACTCCCCTTTCTGTGCTGCTTTCATTAATCATATTTATTGATTTATTTATTGATGTGATTGTGACACTGAAGAACTGTAAATGAAAATGTGAACTAAACAGCATAATGTATAAAAAATACTGACTAAAGAAAACATAAATGTGTAGTAGGTGTTTTGGGAATGTTTCAGTATTTCCAAGAGATTAAAAGTTTGTTTTCAGCACGCAAAAAAAGGGTAACTTCCTCTTTGTCTGTGAGGTTTTATGACAGTTTCAAGTTCTCCAAACATAACAAAGGAGAATGCATAGCTGTATACATCACTTTGTTTCTTGTTCTATGTCTTTATGTTGGGAGTACAATTACTTCCTCATCAAAGCACGGGGGGCTGTTTGAATGTGTATGAACTTCACTACATGTGTATGAATGTTCATGGAGTTCACATATAAGTGTATGTAAACTATACGTTAACTAGAATAAAGCAAAACATTATCTTATGCAGGGTAACAGCAACAACGTCTTGAGAAAATGCCATTCTATGAGAGATGGACAGAATAGAAAACAGACATGGAACACTTGGAGGCTTTTGTATGCATCTGAAAAAAATCTGATTATAAAATTATAAAAATGTGAGGATTTTCATTATAGAACAAGTCATATGCCAGAGAATACTGCTTTCCGATCTTTTGAGAAATGCACATTTTTGTTCTTATTATTTAAATAGATTTTTAATGTGTATATGCATTAACACAAACTGTCAACATTTGATCAGAGAAGAAAACCTTAAATTTAAAAAAACAGTATTTAATCACATTGCCTAAACTGGGTGGAGATATGATGGTGACCAAGCGACATGAGACAAGTTGTAAGAGTGATAAAACATATAGGTAATAGCATTTCGTTGTATCGCTACAGTATGCTATAAAACATTTATCAAAAGCTCTAGAGATAATAGCTTTCTTACAAGGTGCCTGAATTTAATTCCAGTGAAAACGAGAGGTAGTATAAGGTTGATGTAAAGTTCATGTGATTTTATAATGGGTATAAACTATTCTGAACTCTCAAACATACTAATCATTGACAAAAAAATAATTTAAGTCAATATTGAACATTACTAATTGTACTGTGTAAACCACTTAGCTTATATACTGTATCTACAATTTCACACATATGCTTATAAATATTGTTAGCTGGAATCCTGGACATTTTAATTTGGTGACCTAGTTCTGGACTTTATGACCAAATACAGTATCTTTCCTGTGAAATGAAGGAAAAACAAGAAATGTTCTAAAATCAAGACATGTGTATATAGTACAGTGATTGCTGACGGAATTCACTGCAAATCTCTAAAGGCATGATGGAAAACAGCCTTATAGTCTGAATTATAACCTCAACTGCCCTGCGCGATCAGTAGGAGAAAGCTTTGAATAATGAGCTTATCTTGAAGACTCGTAGGGTCTTCCTGGCTTCCACGATTCCTGCTCTCCATTTCTTAATTGAACTAATTGCTCGATCGATTGACTGTAGGTTTCCCAAGTGTTTTACCACTGAAGACTGAAGAATAAATACAAAATCTGCAGCAGCACTGAACTTGGACATTGCTGACTTGCTGTGCAGGCTTCAATAGTTATGCTGCCCTTCGGTGCCCATGGAAACTTTCCCAAGCACAACAGAGCAGAAGTGCTGCTGCCGGGAGAGCAACAAGTGTGGCGTGTCCACACTCTCTCACACAGGAATTCTCATGACAGGTACACATGGCAGTGCTGTCAATAGACTGAAGAGCGCACTTGTCCAGAAACACAAACAGCACATGGTTATATTCAGTCTGCAGCCTGTCCCTGGTGTGAATTTCACTCTTTTTCAAGGTTAATCCTCACCTCTCGGCACACCTCCAGTGCTGTTTCATCCCCACTCGGTTTTGAATTCCAGTTCCAGCTGGCAACTGGAGGTTGCAAAGAGCTCCCACTTTGCTTGAAAAACGAGCATCTTGACCAAAGAAAACCAGCTGCGCTAAAGTGTTTAGAAAAGGGGATTAGATGTTGATATTGTGAAACTAAACTTCCTTTGGAGAGCATGATGACCTGTTTTCTCGCAGCCTTAGTTACTAATGAGATGGGAATGCTGGTAAAGTTCTGTTGCTGAAGGCACATTCAAAAGGAGGGCAAAAACCTCCAGCTGATAGTCGGAGTATTTAAAACAAACTTTGAGCAATGATAATTAATGAAATATTTATAAAAGCTGAACTACAAGAGAGAGTCTGGCCTTTTTCAATTGACTTAATCTCATGCGACTCAGTGTTGAAAGGGGGAAGTTATAATCTGCTGGAAAAACAACAACTTTCTAAATCTGGTGCTCTGAGCTCTTAGTCAAAAAGGGGGTCATTATAAAAATACATTTTATGCATATTTTCACCAGAAGTTATCTACTGACGTTTTAGACTTTGGCTCTAGGACCTTTCCTTAATTTAAAGGATGTCTGCCAAAGTAGCTCATAAAATTTCCAGTTGATGAATTTCAAAATATTTTTTCTCTTTGCAGTGCCTCCTGAAATACTCCTTCAACATAATGAGTGTTTTATCTGCATGTATACCCATATGAAGATCCAAAAATAAAATATTTGTTCTCTTTAGTATTGTGTTATGATAAATTAACATTACAACTCCTTAAACTCTTGAAACACTGTGAAAGCTCTTAGCACCCCCCAGTTAATCTCCTCTGTCTCATCTCATTTTCCTTGTGCATGTCTGTTTTTTTTACATTTTCCCAAATAAAGACATTAAGAAACATCCCCTAAAAGAGGCCAAAGGACATATACGTATGCATTTTCAATTATATCACACACTGCACGGAAATGTAACTCTTTTCCACCTATTTACTTTTTTCTTTCAATTTCCACACCTGAGCAACAGATCAACAGATTAGCTGAAGTGTGACTTTGGTTGCCATTCTCAAGGCAGAAGACCTGTGCACGGAAAAATACAGTATGTGCAATGGTTTGCATGCATCCCCTGCGTCTATCCTTGTTTATGAGAACCAGGTCAGCTGCACGTTTCAGGAAGATCTCCCAACACCTCCTCTGTCTGGAATCACGCAGGGGCCCTTGATGACAATGAGCCCTGCCAGGCCCTCGCTCTGACGCGGGACCTCATCGCCCCACCCTCCCCCAATCAAAAACATATCTCTGCATCTCAAAAATCATTATGACCCACCATCATCAGATCCTGTTAGGCTTCGCAATCAAGCTTGTAGAGTCTCCTAGGACATGAAAAGTTCAAAACCCTGTCACTGGTGCATATAAAGAGAGGCAAGGGTTTCCCTTGACAAAACTAAAACTTCCTTGAAATCGTCCCTCGCCTACGGTAGGCTGTGCGTAATCACTCCAATCTATGTCATTTTTTTGTTTGTTGCTGTTATTCACAGTGTGCACAGAGGCTGCTGCGAGAGTGAGCAGGCACAGAAACGTGGTGATTTAGAAGAGAGGAAATGTCTTAATTGCATTTAATAAAGACCAGGGAGGCCTGACCTCAGGGTCACGGTTTCATCTCTCCATTCAGCAGGGCTTTGGCGCTCGAGATCTTGCTGATAACTAGCTGGCTGTACTGTATGTGACTTGGAAGTTAGTGCTTTGTGCCCAAGGATGAGATGGGACATCCATTGTTCTCTGGCACCGTACACCCGGCCCACAGTACTGTACGTGAGCTCCTGCACATACTAACCACGCATAGCTTGAAGAAAATTTGCGAACCCGGGAACTGTAAAGATCTCTGACAAACTTCCAGGAAACCTGTCCTCCACTGTACACATGCTTCAGTGCAAACAACACTGAGTCTTGGATCATCGCTCTTACAGCAGATCAGTTTATAGCCTGAGCCCCAGGACACACACCTGAGTCCTCCTTTTGGGATTTTTCTTTATCCTGGCTTATCAAAATTGCACTGCAAAGGCATAGTGTGCCAGAAGCAGTGCCAAGATAAATGAAGACCCCCCCCACTATCGGTTAATTAAGAATAAAGCCCAATGAGACAGAACGTTTCTTTCTTCAAATCATACCTTTGCAAAGTAGCAGGTGAAGACACCTGTTCATTGTGATCTAGATCTTCAGACAGGATGTCATGCAGTTTCTAAAAAAGAAAATCAAAATTTTATCATAATATCATGATTGAGTAATCAATTGGTGTGTTTTGGAAAGTGCCATCTGAGACACTGTTCCATTAGTCTAGCATTGAATATTGTTGTTGCTTTTAACTACAATTGTATGCAAATGTACCACATTAATTTGATGAAAGTTCAGATTTCTTGATTTTTGTGTAGTACTTGTCTCTTCCCTATAATCTCAATGAATCTCACAGCATCAAGCCAAGACAAAAAATCAGATCCCCTCTGAAAAGATTAAATTACTTCAGCCTGTCTGCATAACTCATCTCCTTAAGCCCCTGGAATGAGTGTTGCTGCTCTGGACTTTCTCCAATGGTTCTTGAAACCTTTTGTAAAGCAGGGATTAGAAGTGTGTGCAGTGCTCAACAGTGTGTTTTGTATAGTTTCAGCATAACACCTCTTAACATGTATTCTACATTCCTTACTTTGTAAATAAGCATCCTGTTTGCGTTTTATTCCTTCTGTGGATTGCCAAAATGTTGAGAGAGTAATGAATCTTTTAAAATCTCGTTTTTTAAACTAAGTACTTTCTCATGCAAATGTTTATATTGACAAACATTGGTTTTCATTTGCTACATAACTACCCACTCCTGAATGCTATAAAAATCTTATCATACTGTCCTAATTGTATCTTGATTGTTCCTCATTCCCCCATGCTTGGTATCATCAGAAAATCAGACTAATTTCTGATTAACACCAACGCCTCACCTCACCAGACTTCGCTTCTCACGTTGGCCTACCCCCGACTCTTCCCTGCTTACAATTATTACAGTTCTGCTGTACGTTCTGAACATCCAGACACAACATTTCAAAGCGTCAGAACATTTTATGGCTTCTTCAAAAAAGTCCAGACGATTTGCTTAGCAAGATCCCCCTCAGCAGAACAAATGTAGACTGTACCCAGGAACAGCATTACTGTGGAAATATAACATCGGCTTGTCCCTAAAAGCAGGCTACAGTATTTTATATGACACACAAGTCAAACTGTTTATAACCGCCATGTTCAGTATTTTCCTCTCTCTGTGTATAAATATCATATGTGGAAACTTCCAGTCTCTGGCTATTTCTCCAGTTTATAGTGAGAAGCAAAAATCTGTTTGTGACAGACATGCAATACTTTTTCTTAAAGTTATATACCTACTGGCCATGTTCACTTATTTTTTAAAATTTTTATTTTTTATATTTCTGCAATTGACAAGCTTCGTGCAATGACTTGATCATATACCATATACTGTAAATAGGTATATTTCTGACCACTTCGTTAGTAAAGACATAAGCAAAGCAGTTATTGAGTGTACTTGCAATTTCCTTCTTATTATACCCATTCAGTTTCTGATATACAGTTATAGTTCTTGATCAGCCATTACACACTGTGGGTGTGGTGGAAAGGAGAGGGGGACACACTGAATTAAAATGATGTCCGCATTGTCAGGATGATCGGAGGGAAAGAAGTAGATACAGTATAATAATAATAATAATTGCTTACACTTATATAGCGCTTTTTCTGGACACTCCACTCAAAGCGCTTTACAGGTAATGGGGACTCCCCTCCACCACCACCAATGTGCAGCATCCACCTGGATGATGCGACGGCAGCCATAGTGCGCCAGAACGCTCCCCACACATCAGCTATCAGTGGGGAGGAGAGCAGAGTGATGTAGCCAATTCATAGAGGGGGATTATTAGGAGGCCATGATTAGTAAGGGCCAATTGGAAATTTGGCCAGCACACCGGGGTTACACCCCTACTCTTTTCGAGAAGCGCCCTGGGATTTTTAATGACACAGAGTCAGGACCTCGGTTTTACGTCTCATCCGAAGGACGGCGCCTGTTTACAGTATAGTGTCCCCGTCACTATACTGGGGCATTAGGACCCACATGGACCGCAGGGTGAGCGCCCCCCGCTGGCCCCACTAACACCTCTTCCAGCAGCAACCTTGTGTCCAACCTCTCCCTCGGCGTCACTGATTCTGGTTTTAAGATACGCACACCATTTTAGACATTAATGACGTAGTGCCGGTGATTGAAGGATAGGGTCTCTCTTTTGTAAGTACTTCAGTACTCCTTCTCATTAAACCATAAGGGCATTTCTATTCATGAAGCTATATGGCGTTGTCAAACAGGGAGACGGGAGGGGAAATGAGTCTCACAAGCACTCAAAACAGAAAACAGGGTTAGAAACGTCCTTAACACAGACGGTCATAGTTTGGAATATTTGGAATATCAGTATTTTACTGAGGTAGGCTCTTATCAAAAGTTTTTATTAACACCTTAATGGGGTCATTACGTTATCTAGTAGCAAACAAACGCGCTAGCCGGTGCGAATGGCCTATTTTTGATTTTCCCGTTCATTTTTATTTACAACGGATTGCCCCATGAGGATAAAAGTCCATCATAAATTACTGTATCTCTAGTGTATAGGTAACTCCATTTCAATCGTTTCTTCCTCACACAAATAATTTCTGGAGTTGTTTGTTAAGACAGTGCCACGACTTACTTTTATTCAGACCCCCTTGTCGTCTTTTAACGTTCTCCGGCAGTTCAAATCTGACAGCCAAAACGCACGCGGTAGCACCTTGGAGACTATCCAAAGGAGTCAAATATGTGCAAATTAGCATTTGAAATAGTGTGAAAAGGAAATATAAAAAACTTAAAAAAAACATTTATTTCATCTATAAAATACAAGAAGCTTAGCACCTTCCTCGTTACTATAGAATTTTTGATACCACTGAGCGGCATTATTTAATTTAAAGCAAACATAGGCACATCGCATAATGTTTATGTTCATAAAAAACTTTTTAAACAAGGGAAAATACACTGAAACACTCATGTCATGATAGTGAGAAAATGGACGATAGAAACAGATGTATTGTTTTTTGTCCTCGATACGATAAGGTTCCTCTGCTCGTTTTTGTACCACAAAACATCTTTATGTTTTGTAATTGAATAGAAATGCTCATATTTCTAATCTTCACCGCTAGATGGAAGCAGATGGTTATACAGTCTGCAGTAGCTTCAAAGCAGCGTTTGGGAAAGTTATCTGTTGCTGCAAGACGTTCATGGAATATGTATTTCTTGGTTTCACTTTTAATTTCACACATTATATCGAACCAGTCACATCATTGGCTGATGAAAGTGTACAGCGACGTTTTGGTGGGTTTTGCTGTAGCTTTACTTGACCCTTGCTGTGGTTATATATTATTTTAATACGTTTTCACTGTGTTTAACTGCCCTGAGACTCGAATTATCCATGGAGTCATTAGTTCATATGTAATTTTGGGTATTGTTTCCAGATAAAGTCCTCTTTGAAGCTCCTTGTAGCCTGATCTTGTCAGATCTATGAAGCTAAGCATGGCTTGCAGATCAGTTCTGGGTCAAGAGACATCAAGGGAAAACTTGGCTGCTGTGGTGTGGATGGACCATTAGGTGGCGCTCTTCCTCCTGAACAAGAATTTATATACCATCGTCCCAGTGTGGTGACCAGGAGCTCTGTTCTGTGCTAGGTGGTGCCCTTTGTATGTTGAACTGCAGTCCTTAATCCTTAAGTCCTTTAAGTCCTCAGACTACTAGAGGTAGTTAGTGGTGTTAGGTAGAGGTAGAAGAGGTGTTAGTGGGGCCAGCAGGGGGCGCTCACCCTGTGGTCCACGTGGGTCCTAATGCCCCAGTATAGTGATGGGGACACTATACTGTAAACAGGTGCCATCCTTTGGATGAGACGTAAAACTGAGGTCCTGACTCTCTGTGGTCATTAAAAATCCCAGGGCGTTTCTCGAAAAGAGTAGGGATATAACCCCGACATCCTGGCCAAATTTCCCATTGGCCCTAACCAATCATGGCCTCCTAATCATCCCCCTCTATGAATTGGCTTCATTACTCTGCTCTCCTCCCCACTGATGGCTGATGTGTGGTGAGTGTTCTGGCGCACTATGGCTGCCGTCGCATCATCCAGGTGGATGCTGCACATTGGTGGTGGGGGAGGGGAGTCCCCATTACCTGTAAAGCGCTTTGAGTGGAGTGTCCAGGAAAGCGCTATATAAGTGTAAGCAATTGTTATTATTATTATTACTAAATCCTTAATCCTATGGCACTGCTCAGAAGAGAGGAGGTGTTAGCTCTAGTGCTCTGACTAAACTCCACTCCATACTCAAACAGTCGTATCTTCTTCAAGTTCCCTTCTTAATTCACCCAAATCCATGTGGACTGTGTGGACTGGGTCCCCTCCTCTGTTCAAAACGCTTTGCAGTCCTCGGGGATGTGTCAGAAAGATGGAGGAAGGGGGGGAATACACAAAATAGGTCTTTGAAATGTCAGACTGAACTTAGACACCAGGCAGTTGTCTGTTTGTTGAAGGGATGCACTGTGGATTTTTCAGGGAAGTAAAGCCATCCAACTATTTTCTGGCACCTTGCTATGCTTATAGGTTCACGGAGACCTGGAGCCTAACCTGCAAGGGAGGACTACATCCTGAATGAGATGCCAGTCCATCACAGGGATGCTTGCTCACACATCCATTCACTCACGAAAACCGTGTTCAGCTTTAGTGCACATCTCTGCTTAGACCGGCCCTATGAATCCGTCTATCAATCCTTCCATTTTCTAACCGTTCCAATATAGCGTCATGGGGGAGCCTATCCTGGCCAAGATCGGGCACAAGATGGGATACATGCTGGACAAGACGCACGTCAATCTTAGGGCTCGTGCACACACATGCACTCACTCACTAAATCCTGTTCAGCTTTAATGCCCATCTCTGCTGAGGCCAGCCCTATAAATACCACTCTTTATTTATAATACTGTACATACCACACATCCATCTTTTCTCCTTTGTGATCATCTTCCTTTGCAGCCCTCTTCCACATTTCTAGCTCCCTCTTTGTCACTCCTCCCTCTCCTGTCCCACAGCCAAGGAGTCGAGCCAAATCTTACTAGGACTAAGCAATAGACAGTTTTCAGTCCATTCAGGTGTTGCTGTTCCTCGTGAAACGATACTAGCACACCTTGATGAGCCTTCCATCCATGGACGAGGCTGTAACAGCATTCGCACCAGTCCAGCAGATCTGGTGGGTGTGATGAGTCACCACGTGCAAGACAGAGTCTCAAAAGAGATCTCAAAAGACACGGTCAAGGGGATTTCATATGACTGAGTCTCGTATTGGCAATAATCAGAAGCAGAAAATCCTGAAGTTCAAGAGACACCCAGAATACGCCCCTTTGCACGAGTTAAAGCAGCAGATTTCTCAATTTTTTCCCAGTGCTGGGGGACTCCCATTTCAAGACGTTCATCAAGAACTCCATTTTAAACATATAATCACATGGATGTGTGTCATTCTTAAGAATAATATTTCTAGCCATTATAAAACATTAAAAGCAGAAAGGGGGTTCAGCAGCTGCACTAACACTGCGTCAGAGTACTTATTTGCATATGGCTGTACTTGCAGAAAAAAGTTTCTCTTGGTTCTTGGGGATCCCCTGGACAATCGCTGATGACCCAAGTGGGGTTCCAGGACGACTGGTTAAAAAGCCCTGAGATAGAAAGCAATAGTGCATTTTATTAGGTGGAGTCCAGCAAAGTCTCACAGGCCTTGATGGTACTGACACAATTGTCCACATACAGTAGATTATGGAGTCTCTTAAAAATAAGAGTGCTTGCCAAGTCCCTTAACGGCCCGGGTGAAGAAATACCTCGCAGTCAGAAATAGAAAAGAGTTGTATTCCAAACCTCAAATGAATGCCATTTGCCATCTAGACCTTTGTGTTCTCATCATTTTAAAGACAATCATTCCCCTTCAGAGACATCAATCTACATACATTTTTAAAACAAAGTCATTTTGTATATTTCTATCCAAAGAAACATCTGCAGCACATCTTTAAAAATTAACAGACACTTTGAGGCTGATTAGTGACTTGCTTCCAAGACACGGATTCAAACAAATACTTCAAGACTTAGCACACATGATGAAAACAGTAACATGGAGTACTTTTCTACAGAAGCACAATTTAAAAGGTTTGTAACTCAACTGTTCAGTCAGTTAGCTCGATTTTTGCACAGGCATTGTCATCAAGTAGCTTAATTCTAAGCTACACATCCATCCATCTTCAAACCACTCCTCCCAATTTAGGGTCACAGGGGAGCTGGAGCCTGTCCCGGCAAGCAACAGGTGCACGGTGAGGTACACCCTGGACAGGACGCCAGTCCATTGCAGGGCACACAGAGACAAAAACAGACTCACCCCTAGGGGCACTTTTCCCAAAAGCCAATTATCCTACCAGTGTGTCTTTGGACCATGGGAAGAAAGCAGAGCACTAGGAGAAACGTCATGCAAACACAAGGGGAACACGCAAACTCCACACAGACAACACCCCACGAGGGAATTGATCTCAGGGCCCAAGCTCTGCAAAGCAACAATGTAAGTCCCCCAAGCCAAATATTCAAAGCACTTTACATTAGAATGCCCTTAAACAAACATAATCAATTTACAAATATAAGCAGGCTGTCAGGATGTAATTCTCTTTGTGGTACATCTACAAAGAGGGGCATTGCTGTACTTAGGAGAAGACTGCAAACAAAGACAAGCTTTTCTGTTTCTTTCCCCATTTTTTTTAGGTCAGGGCTTTGCAACTAGGTCCTGGAGATGCTGGCAGCGTCTTTGAGGTCTTTTTTCTTTCCCAGCAAAAGGTGAGCTGGTCTGTCCTTGGGGATTTCCAGGTAGGTCCCGAACAGGTGGTCCCAGTGAGTAAAGTAGGGGGCGTAGTTGCCACGGAGAAGCTGGTGGTGGGCTTGGTGGAAAGGGGCCCCCCCAAGCAGGTGGAAGGGCACAAGGCGATGGGTAGCCCAGGGCAGGTCGTAGCCACAGTGGTACTCCACGGCCAGCCATAAATTGAGCAGGTGGAAGACTACCTCGCTGAGTGGATGGCAGCCCAGCAGGGCGGTGATGGAGAGGGCCAGGACCTGCAGGGACAGCAACTCCCAGATGCTGGAATCCTGGGCTGCCAGGGCAAAGGTGTCCCGGTGCTGATGGTGGGCACTGTGCATCAACTGAAACATCTGTGGTACCCTGCAGAATGCACCAGTCATACAACTGTTCAATCAACAGAGTAGAACAAAACAGAATACTTCACATATCCACAATTCCTAATTCTCCATCAAGCTCCAGTCTCCCCCAGGACTCCAGTTCCCCAGTAACTCTCAAGTTCTTCAGTCCAACTAGCAACTGACTAATCAAGGTCTAGTCTGCTTTCCACTGCATTTAAAACATTCCCTCATCTAAATGCAGTCATGTGCACCATCTGCCAAAAATCAATTCCAAAATCATTTTCAAAACAGGAAAGAAAGAAATAACCACGTGACAGTTGCTGGAACATAAGGGCATGAATTGGGAAGGAGTACTTTGCGCGGCAGTGTTTATTATTTAATTATTATCAAATTACTTCCCTGGTTTCTGTTGAAGCTGTGTGCTGATGGGCCACTATTCTCTCTTACTGTTTTAGTTATAGTTCAGAATTTGATCTAAAACAAATAAATAAAATAATAATAGAATACTGTGTAGAATGGGGTCACCATATTACAAATAAGATACTGGAATCACTCCAGAGAAGAGCAAAGAGACACATTCCCAGGACAGGCCCAAGAGAATGTCAGGCAGAGAAACTTGCAAGGAGACCTGACTCAAGCATCCACAACCCTCAAAGGAGCAGGCAAGGTCAACACAGCTGACATTCTCAGAACAGAGACACACAAAGCAGACAATTCAAGTACAAACTAAGGGAAAGTGCAGTTAAAACTGAGAACAGGAGGTATTTTTTCCACAAAGGGCTGTAGGAATCTGGTAGAAGCCATGTTTCAATGCTGACAGGACAGGATCAAGACAGGACTAAATGAGATCCCTGGTTTAATTAGGTACTAGTCCCCGAATGAGCTAGGTGGGTCTAATAACCTTCTTTTGTTGGTAACCTTTCTACATTCTTTAGTTCTTATACAAGATTTCTGAAGGTCTGTTCTGCAGAGAGAGTGTGTTACTACTGCCCTAAACAGTTAAACAATTCCATACCAAATTTCTATCAGAAATCCTTTTTTATTCCTAAAATTGTTTAAGATGATAAGTCATATTTTTAGGCATGCTTTCCACACTCTAAATAGTAGCTTTTTATTGTTTCTATTAGGAAACACAACTGAATCCTGCATTTTATTCATATGGATGTATAATCTTTAAATGCTGACAACATTTACGTCCAGCTTCATTCTTATCTTTATTCACTTAATCTGTTTTACTTGGTTAGTCAGAAAATATTTCATGCCTGGAAGAGTTGTTGGAAGTTTTTCTATCTCTGGCATTTGCTGAATCACTGATAGACTGCAGTGCACTCAGAAGACTCTTTTTATCGCACTCCTACACTTTCAATACCTAGAAATCTCCTAAGCATTTGACTGGAATTATTAGCTCCCCCAAAGTTACTGTTGAGAGAAAAAAAAACTGAAAAGCTCACACTAAAACTGCAGTAACTATGACTCAGTGGAAACGTCATATTCTTCACGGGTCTGAGATTGTTCACTATGTTTCACCCATTGCATGTGATGTATTGGGTGTGAAGAATCTATTTCACAGATCTATGCAACATCCTCCCCACTGTCCCAAGACAGGCAGATGAAACTAAAAGTTCATGTCCAAATGCACTATTCCATGTCCAAGGTGCTGCTCGTAAGTCACCAGCAATAGTCGCACATAGGGCAACTTACAGTTTTATGACCGCATTAAAATGTGATTTTCTAGGGTTAAAAAATAAATGATCATAAAGCAAAACAAAAACAAGCAGCTATAGATCTGCGCCATTATCACTCCATCTTGATTCTCCTGGTGAACTTATTAAAGACAATGTAAGCATTGAATCTTAATATGCTCGGTGTTCGGTTAAAGTACATTGTTAGTGAAATCTCCTCTGGATTAATTAAGATTCTTTCTTTTGCACTGGTTACAGAATTTAAAGTTAAAAGCCCAGTTCCTCTTATGAACATTTGGTAGGTTATTGGAAAGGGTCTGCCTCATTACCAAAGCTAAACCACCACCCCACCTGCAGCTTGCCCTGTACAGACACTAAATGCCATGAACATTCATTACGAGATTCTAGCGCACTGAGAAAAGTGAAGTCACATGTTAAATGTCAAAACAATATGGTTTTGAATCAGAAAACTGCCGCAGTGTGAGCAGCAACTTACTGAGGACTAAAGCTGTTGTGTATTTTGTAAGATATCTAAAGATATCTCAATCTTGCGGGGCTCCTGTATTCTAAATGCTGGAGAGTTTCTGATCTTTCATAACACCACAGGTCAATACTTGCTTTACTTTTCAGACATAAAACAAGTGGCGATGTACAGTAAACCAGAGGTCCCCAGCCTGTATCCTAGTGGGCTTGTGTGTGTGTCTGCAGGTGTCCTACAGTATGTCTGCTGGTTCTAGGCACTTATACCTGAATAATTGGGAGAGGCTATTAAACTGGCCCAGTTAAGACGGATTTAGATCGTTTTGTCAGAAAATCTGTTGGCACACTGGAGTGTGGTCAGATCGCAGTTAAAGAATTCTACTGGTGACGGTGTACGCAGCTCCAGCCACAATTCAAGACTTCTAAAAAAACGCAGTACTGTATGGACTGCACCGTAAGTAAGGGGGTTCTTACAGGACCTCTGTCCAGAATCAATGGACATGTTTCTTTTTCCGGGGGCGGAAAACAAACTTTCTGTTTTCAGTTCACAAAGCAGTTTTATGCATTCAGCTGGCATTTCACAGACGGAGGGGGAAAAGAAACAGTCATAGTTTACAATCGCTAAACGTTTAAACTGAGAAGCAAACAGAATGAAAGCACAAACATAAAACATCTGCGACACCTCTTCCGCCCCCTCCCCGCACTTTGTTTAATTAAGTTATGTAAATGTCTTGCACTTAGTTTTTCTGTGTCGTATGCAGATGTGTGGTGTTTTTTTCTGTGGGGGGGACTTATAAAATTCTTCCCTTTGCATTATGTACAGTTTTACAGTAGTTTTTTTGTAAAACACACTAAACAGTGTAATCTGTAGCTGTAGGTTTTGGCATAACTAACTTTATTTGAATGTAATGCAGAGAAGCGGTAACGGAGGTTAAGTAAGGTGCAGCACGTAGAGAGTAAGGAGAGTTACAGTATCTTCGTCTGTATTCATCAACAGACCGCGTCACTAGTGTTTCCTATTATATTACTATTTCTAATATTATTATTCCTATACACAGGTTCTTCTGTTTTAAAACCAACATAATTTACCCATCCATCCATTTCTTCATTCACTGTAGGG